AAATATCTTACCTCACAGACGAAACAGGCACTAAAATCTCCACCACTAAGGGAATAAGCAAGGTATTTGCAAAGTACTACTCATCACTATACAACATTCAGGAAGACGCGCAAACAAAACACCCAATACAACTTGGTATTACGGAATACCTTGACGAGGTAAAACTACCCAAGCTCACGCCCCAACAACAGTCGGCCCTTATTGAACCGATAGAAATCCAGGAGATTAGGGACCTAATTAAAAGCCTCCCATCAGGAAAATCCCCAGGACCAGATGGGTTTGACAACCAGTACTATAAGCAATTCAGCACAATACTAGTGCCCTACCTAGACAGAATGTTTAAGGAGGCAGCCCACAAGGGCGAACTCCCTAGAGAAATACTGGCCGCCCACATAGTCACACTCCCTAAACCGAACAAGGCCCCGACAATTCCGCAAAACTTTCGACCCATCTCCCTCCTCAATACAGATGCGAAGTTATTCGCTAAACTGTACGCAAATAGGTTGGGAAAAATACTACCACACCTAATTCACAATGACCAGGTGGGCTTCATCAAGGAAAGACAGGGGGCTGACAACACCAGGAAGGTTATCAACATCCTCCACCATCTGCAAATTCGGCGTCGGGGGGGACTGATGGTCTCCCTCGACGCCGAAAAAGCCTTTGACCGCCTCCACTGGGGGTTTCTTAGAACAGTGCTGAACAAGTTCGAGATCCCCTTGGGGTTTGTGTCGGTGGTACAGGCCCTATATAGCATGCCCTCAGCAAGAGTACTCAACGCAGGATTTCTGTCCGAACCGTTCCAACTCACGAATGGCACAAGGCAGGGCTGCCCCTTGTCCCCCCTGTTATATGTCCTAGCGCTGGAGCCGCTGGCGATCAAGATACGGGAAAACACTTCGATACACGGTCTGGAGATAGGAGCTAGGGAGTACAAAACTAATTTGTTTGCAGACGATATACTACTCACACTTACACAACCGCACATATCACTACCAAATCTCCTGCAGGAAATAGAAAGATATGGGGAGCAATCATACTACAAACTAAGTGTCATGAAAACCCAAGCTATGGGGATAGGGATACCACATCATACCATAGAACACCTAAAACTTTCATTCCCATTGGACTGGAGAGATGACCACCTCACGTTTCGGGGTCTTCGGATTCCAAAGACCCCACAAGGTCTTATGGACCTTAATTATGGCAAACTACAGGGGGAAATAGGAGACACACTGAAGAAATGGGAAGACAAATATATGTCATGGGTGGGGAGACTGGCGGCAGTGAAGATGATGCTCCTTCCAAAATTTCAATACTTAATTAGAACTCTACAGATCCCCCTACCAAACACATACCTGAGACGGCTGCAAAACACCATCACTAGCTTCGTCTGGGAACACAAAAAAATACGGGTAGCCACGAAGATTCTCACTAGAACCCTAGCCCAGGGAGGGTTGGGAATGCCAGAGGTACAGAGGTACTATAGAGCGGCACTACTGACCACAGCCCTACAAGCACACACTGCCCAAAACCCACCACAATGGATAGAAATGGAATCAACCTGGACTTGTCCCATAGGTCTTAAATACCTCTTCTGGGTACCACACAGGCTACGCCCTCCGCTCCCAGACATGCCAGCCACCACTGATATCCTATTGAAAACCTGGGATAAATCTAAGCCAAAGCTCGGATATACCACCGACTGGGCGCTGGCCACTCCCATATATAGCATACATTTAGCATATCCTGCTTTCGACCACCGTACGTGGCTGAAAAAAGGATGTACACTAGTTCAACACCTGTACGGGCAGGGACAACTGAGACAATTCCCAGAACTACAAACAGAGTACGACCTTCCGCAAAGAATGATATTTTCTTACCTGCAACTAAAGGGAATATTAACACATGGCACCACCCTAAACATCCCGCAACATACACAAAGTGCAGAAAGAGCGTGTGTATCGATGACCATGCCTAAGAAACCACTCTCATTACTATATACTCTGCTCAGTGCCTCCAACCAACAATTACAGACAGACAACTTTAGAGACGCATGGCACAGAGATATAGGTACAATATTCTCAGATGACCAATGGACCCTAGCTTTTACGGCTCATAAAGGCAGATCCAGATGTGCATCGCACTTAGAGCTCATGCGCAAGTTACAATATAGATGGTACCTAGTGCCAACGAGACTGGCGACCATTTACCCTAACTCCTCCAAATTATGTTGGAGATGCTTAGCAGGAGAGGGCACAATGTACCACATCTGGTGGACCTGCCCAAGGCTCAAAGGATACTGGAATATGGTGGAGGCAACAGTTAGGGGAGCATTAAGAGTCGACACTAAGCTAAGCCCAGAATGTGCCTTATTATTTATAACACTGGACTCCTACCTGAAACCACAAGCGGGCCTATTATTTCACATCTTGACAGCAGCAAACCTCCTGCTAGCCAGGAGATGGAAACAGACACAGACACCCACTAGGACGGACCTGATAGAACAGACGTCACTCAACCTGACCTACGAAATAGGGACTAGCCAACAGTTCCGCCCAGCACAACATATCATACAAGCCAAAGAGGAGTGGGAAACCTTCATAACAGAGACGGGGGAGGAGATATAGAGAAAAAAAAAAAAAAAGAGGCTGGACTTAGAGACACAAGACGGTGAGTGCAAGACGAGTAGGCCAACCACTAGAATGGAGGTCTAGAGCAGTAGGTCCCCACAAAAGAACGAGATATCTGGGAATCGCCCAAACAACATACCAGCGCTAGGCGTTGCGGAATATGAACCCACAATGTACATAGTTCGAGGGGTAAGGACCCAAGCACCACGCTGCAAATAACAAATGTAGCAGGACAAAGAAACAGGAGCAATACGGGAATGGTGCCGGATCCACACCCTCCTCACCTCCTCTCCATACCCACCTCTCCCAATCCTCCCCCCTCCCCCCCAACCAAGGCGACAACAACTAGACATAGGGAATGTAAGATAGGTTAGGGCACCACAGATCGAATGGCTGGACCTTGACCCACCCCACTAGCAACAAAACACCACCCATATAAGACCAAGTTCGATAGGAATGTCTAACGTGTATAAGCATGAATATGATCAATGTACCCTAACCGCTCACCCTCCCCTTCTTCTTTTCTGTATCCCCGCTATATTATATGCATAAACAATACAAACCTGAAAAAAAAAAAAACACCAAGTCTAGGGGAGAAGCTTCTCACGCTATAAGGTGAAATTGTCCTAATCTAATTGCAATGCTCGAGTCGCATCTGACACATAATGTTCCCCTAGCTCGATAATCAAACTTTACACCCCCTAGCATACTGAGAGCGGACACGGAAACATAATGGAGTGGGTCCTCCACCACTAGACTGGAATGCCCTTAGACAAAGACCACTTAGCAACCCACTGTGTAAGATGTACAACAGAAGAACACTTAAATATGCCTAGAGTGTCAAATGACTAATCAATAATATAACATTTGTTCTGTATCATTTTACTGTGCATGTATCAATGTTTACCCCACCCCACTTTCCTTTCTGTACCCCATCATTCTAAGAAAGACAAATAAAAATTGTCAAATTGAAAAAAAAAAATTAAAGAAATAAAAATAAAATATTCCCCTTACGGTGGGTTTCTACATGTTAGTGTCGCCATCCCAATGACCAATGACTTTCCAGTTGCCAGCCGTACCAATTTTTTGCAACCCTCACTGTTATTAGAGTAGGTAGTGCAGTTTTTTTGTTTTTTTTTAATGAGGCTATGGAACTAGTTTACATTTCTTAAGTCAGGTCCTGATTCTCAGTAACCAGACCCTCATCTTAGCAATTCAGGTCCAGATTTTAACCATCTGGCAACTCTCGGGTCATTTGGAGACTGCTCCACAAAATCCAGAAATTTTTATATACTGTCTGTGAACAATGTCTGGATTAAACAGTCCGAATGTTCCAGTACTGTACAGAATGGTTGTTTCATATGTATATTTATGTAGTGAAAACAAAGATAAAGAAAGTACAACTTAAATACGACTGAAGAAGGTTGATTAGGTTAGTTAATGTTTGCAAAAAAAATTAAAAGGACACTTGAAGCTACATAACAACCATCCTCCTTGTGCTGAATATGGTGAAAGGATATCCCATTAGTATCCTAAGTAGACTGTATCTTAAAATCCCCTGGGAACTGTATAATAATTCAAGGAAGAATTGCTACCCTTGGTCCTACAGGTACATCCAAATTTAGGAAAATCACTCATGGAATAAACTTGAATCTACTCTATTGGTATCCCTTGCATTTTGAAGATGTCATTAAAATATATTTGACTTCCATTGTGTTGCCTTGGCTTTAAACTCTCTGCTTAACTAATTAATCTTTTACAGGAAAACAAAAAAAGTCTAAAAAGTAGGCTTTTCAGGTTGTCAGGACAGGCAATGTATGAACAAGTGAGTAATGACCAAATTGTCTCTTCACTTCCCCACATTTTTAGAAAGTCCCACAAAACTCGTCTCTTAGAAGATACATACAATTTACTTAAGGAGTTCTAAGCTTAAAAAGATATGAATGTATATATAGGATTTTATGTTGTAATGATCAATAAAACTGTGTTTCAGGTAATATACATAGTGCAACGACTAAATATTTTATGAATTATTAAGGTTGTTCAATCACAGTTTTTCAATAAACCTTTCTCAAGGACTGATGTGATCATCCACAGTAATAACAGAGCTTCTACTATAAATGGCAATTATTTAGTAAAGTACCTAATCTGTTAAAATTCTTTAAAATACACTATCTCAACATAGCCATTACCGAAAGCAGCTGAAAAAGCATTTTTTTTCTTGACAATTCCATGAAGTCACACAAATTGGGTTTTTGTAGTATTTTAAAACATATCTGTAGCACAGTATCAAGTACTAAAATAATGTGTCTCCTTTAAGAAATCACTTTAACATATTCTTAGACTAGTATGAAAGTAAATGATAGGCTTAAAAACACTGTATAAAACAGATCAATAGTTATAAAGCAAAATATAATCAATACAAAATAAAAATTACCTTTACGTCTTCCGTGCATTAGCTTTTAGAAGAAATGTAAAACACACTTAATTTCCATTTTCTCTAAATGTTTATTTATGTAGCTGATTTAATTAATTAGTTATATTTACAGACTTAATTCATTGCAAACTTCTTTTAGCAAATGTGTAGTAGTAATACAGTTAAATGGCTAACAGTAAATGCACGAAATTAGAATTTTGACGTGGAATGATTTCTTATTCCTATACTGTAGTTGATTATGAAGTTTTTAGATAGTTGCGCCATGAACCACAACTAGTATAGAAACATTTTCTTAAAACATACGGTGTACTGAGATATAAAATGCCTTCAAAGATAATATGCCCTTCAATGAGATTTTCTGTAGAATAGGTAAAAGTCCATTTACATTACAAAAAAACTCCCATAAGAGATTTCGTACTCTTTTTTCAGTGATCACACTCTTCGTCATTTTGTCCTTCTTCTTCTTCAGGAAAGGAGGTCTTGTTCTGTTTTTTCATCTGTTTAACCCCTGTGAACAGAGAGATCAAATTAAGTCTTTTCTTTTTCCAACCAGACTTGCTGTCTTGTCCCACTTCCAAAAAAATCTAATTTTTTTTTAATCTTTTGGGCGTTTGTAAAGCTAATCAGATCTTCAATGCCGTAGCAATTTCTAAGATTATGTGCAGTAAAGCAAGACTTTAAAAATATGGTGTACGTCTGTCTTGATATCTTTCTAGTTTATTGTGGACTGTTATATATGCACATAAATGAATATTATTTCTATGCAGTATATATACAGTATATATATATATATATATATATATATATATATATATATATTCCAACAGAAACTCAGAAATATGGGCACTCACGGGTCATGTAAAAATTTCGCAATAGTTTATTTCATGTTCAGTGCAAAGTTGTCACACTGAACTTCACACTGAATATGAAATAAACATTTGTGATACTTTTTTTTGATCGTGATGAAAGTCCCAAAGGTAGACTGAAACGTTGATCTTTTAAATTGTCTACAATAAAGCATTGGATGTTTACTAAGACCATGAGTGCAGCCGACTATTTGGATTTATATATATATAAACACGCACACAAAAAATAACATTGAGTTGCATATTATGGAAGTTTTTCCACTAGAACATACACTCACATATGCAGATCTGAGCAAGTGCCTATATGAACAATTTCATTAACTAATAGGTGACATTATTCCGCCCCCACCCCCCGCCGTTGTTTGCAGCGGTGCCTGCAACTATATCTTTTTTCTTTTTATCGTGATTGGCGCTGGTTCTTGCCATTCCTGTGTATTGGTTTCTAACTTGGAATCGTCTTAACAGGTTAACACATTCGCATATCATATCGAAGAAATATATTTAATCCTTAGGCATATCCTGTCACTGATTGGATAAAAAAAGATAGCGCTATGTAGGAATACTAGAAAACTTGTTCTGTCAACTACATCCATGCACTTTGTCAACTACTGTAGTTTAAAACAATGTATTATATACAATATCTTACTGTTGGGAGATAGTGATTACATTTTTTTTCTATTATTTATGACATGAGTCATCTCATAAAAAATATATCTTTTTTGTTAATCCATATCATTCTATGAATTTCTTGAGTCATTACCGAGTTTACCTCTAATGGCGCTGAGAGTGGTTCAAATTGTATACTATTAAACTGCTAATGGAAACTTTACAGCCTCCACCTTATTACAAATCCAATAAGAGCGACTAGCAATCTTGGGAAAATAAATTCTGGCAGCTCTAAGCATTCAGTTTGCTTTTTTATTGTTTGAGATTTATTTCTTATTTTGTTTATTTTCTAGTACCAGATTAAATTTCGTAAAATATATCACGGTTGTTCTCTTTACTGTGGCTTTATTGCAATACTTTGTGGTAGTCTGCTTTTTTATGTGAACTACTATATTATTATTAATATGTTATTACACTTAATAAGGAGTAATTTGAAATCCATCTTGGTAACAATATATATATATATGTATATATAACCATAATGGTTGTCACGGGCCCGGCAGCCCTAGGGGGCCCGGCTGTCCGGGCCCCACGTGGGCGGCGAAACTGCCGCAGGTGCATCTGCACCGGGGCCCATCAGGTGGCCCAAGCATTTAGGGCCACCCAATGGGCCCTGTAATATTCAGGGACCCGGTCAGCGCTGCGGCCGGGTAATTCCATGACCGGGCCCCTTTAAAAAAAAAATTGCGGCTCCCCTGCAAATGCTGCTGGGAGGAAATGAAGGCCGGTCACTTCCTCCAAGCTTACTCCGCGTGGGGGGAGAGCAGCGGGAGAGCGGAGGAGAGGGAGAGCGGAGGCCAGGAGAGCAGAGGCCAGGAGAGGACACCAGAGGCATCCACTCCCATCATCCCCATCCACCCTCCTGCAACTTAAAGGTAAGAGGAGGGTGGCTGATTAATGAAGTGTGTGTGTGTATATGTATGTATGTCAGTATATATGTCTGTGTGTGTATGTCAGTATGTATATATATATCTGTGTGTGTGTCAGTATGTATATATGTCTGTGTGTGTGTCAGTATGTATGTGTGTATGTATGTCTGTGTGTATGTCAGTATGTATGTCTGTGTGTGTGTCAGTATTTATGTGTGTATGTATGTCTGTGTGTATGTCAGTATGTAAGTATGTCTGTGTGTGTGTATGTCAGTATGTATGTATGTCTGTGTGTATGTCAGTATGTATGTCTGTGTGTATGTCAGTATGTATATATGTGTGTGTGTGTATCAGTATGTATGTCTGTGTGTGTGTCAGTGTGTGTGTGTGTGTATGTCAGTATGTATGTCTGTGTGTGTGTGTATGTCAGTATGTATGTATGTCTGTGTATGTGTCTGCAAGTATGTATGTATGTCAGTATGTATATATGTATGTGTGTGTGTCAGTATGTATGTATGTATGTCTGTGTGTATGTCAGTATGTATGTCAATGTGTATGTCAGTATGTATATATGTATGTGTGTGTGTATGTGTGTGTGTGTCAGTATGTATGTCTGTGTGTGTGTCAGTGTGTGTGTGTGTGTGTGTATGTCATATATGTATGTCTGTGTGTGTGTATGTCAGTATGTAAGTCTGTGTGTATGTCAGTATGTATGTATGTCTGTGTATGTGTCTGCAAGTATGTATGTATGTCTGTGTGTGTGTGTATGTCAGTATGCATGTATGCATGTATGTGTGTATGTCAGTATTTCTATATGTATGTGTGTGTGTCAGTATGTATGTATGTATGTATGTCAGTATGCATGTATGTATGTGTGTGTATGTCAGTATGTCTGTGTCTATCTGTATGTGTGTGTGTATGTCAGTATGTATATTTATGTCTGTATGTATGTATATCTGTGTGTGTATGTATATATCTATCTATCAGTATGTATGTCAGTATGCATGTATGTCTGTGTGTGTGTATGTCAGTATGTCTGTTTGTATCTGTGTATGTATATATCTATCTGTGTGTGTGTATGTATGTATATCAGTATGTATGTATGTATGTATGTGTATGTATGTCTGTTTGTCAGTATGTATGTATGTCTGTATGTATGTGTGTGTGTATGTCAGTATGTGTGTGTATCTGTATCTGTGTATGTGTCTATATGTGTGTATGTCTGTTTCAGTATTTGTGTCTGTTAGTATGTGTGTATCTTTCTGTGTGTGTGTCTGTGTATTCCTGTGGGTGGGATTTGGAGGCGGGGCTTGGAGGCGGGCACCCGGGGGCACAGACCTTGAGCTGTGTTAGGGGCCCCACAATTTCTGATGGTGGCCCTGTTTATATATGGAGAAGCTAATTTTAATCTATATTCTGTATAGAGAATATTGCATTCTTGTCTTGTTCTGCACTATTCAAATACCATATCGCCATCTGTCAGTTACCTATGACTCCATAAACAATGCATGTAATAAACACGAGGTTTGTAGTTTTTGTAACCCCTTACTCTCTCCATTATTACCGCCACATTTTATCCAAGTTTCCTATCTATGTGTGTTACTTCACCAACTTCATACTCTCCCATCTGGTCAATTCATGTTAAAGGTACACTATAGGTACCCAGGGAGCTTCATCTCAATGAAGTGGTCTGGGTACCATGTTACTGTCTGCTTAACCCTACAATGTAAAACATTGCCATTCAGCAGGAACAACAATGGTCAAACTGAGCTACTTAGATAAAATGGACTCATAGAGACCATCTAATTAGTGCAGCACAGTGTTTTATTGTGCATGTGCACTAGACTCATCATGCTTTCCTGTGGGAAAGCATTGGATTGGCTGAGATCATCGTTCTTGGTGATCTCAGCCAAGGAGGCAGTTCGGCAGTGCAAAAACCAACACTGCAATGGAGAAAAGGTAAGTAAAATCCCGTCTCTTCTTCACAGAGGATTAGAAGGGGACTACAGTCAGTACCAAGTCTACTAAGACACAATAAAAGGTTAAAGGTTTACTCAGTGCAAAAAACATTGTGTTTCCATACACCTGACTTGCCACAATACACATATATGTTTTGGAAAACTATATATACAATATTTAAAAAATAGGATGAAGAGCTGAAAATGTACTTCTGTAAATCTGTTTGACTGTTAAGAGATGCAATTATTTACCTACTTGCAACGGTGGATCTTTTTTAAAACGGTTTGTCTCTCATAATACCAACCCAATGTGATCGGAGTCCTGAGCATAATATGGGTTTAATAAAGTATATCTCATCTACCAAAATAATATCACCTAGACTAGAATCACCTTTTTTCCAGTTACCCAGCCTTGCTAAAGTCAATTTATTTTTTCTTATCGAACAACATGTATTGAAGGTAAAATGTGCCTAAGAGCTAACATCACATTCATTTACATACCTACTTCCTTTATAAACAATCTTGAATATTTAACTTTCCCTTGTCTTCTTACTTTTATAGAAATATGTGACAAGATTAGTTTTAAACACATTTAACCTTTGGAACGATTGCAATCTAGAACAGTAATTTCCCTTTATAAGCAAGAGATTTTTCTTTTTGAAAAAAAACAGAATAAAGCAATTAGATCTATTGAAAATTCACAAAAGCAAATATATTATGTAAGTTAAAATTCTAAACAGAACCACAACAAATGTATTTCTGCAGAAAGTTTTATGACTAACTATATATTTTGTACCTTTAAGAAATATTACATATATATCACGCTATCATCTAATAAACCCAATAAATAAGGTCCTACACTAAATTCATGAAACATCATAAGCACATTATCCCACTCTTAATAGGCATCGCTAAACCTGTATGTTGCAATATGGTGGGTGCATCTCAGGAGGCCATTAAACTGGATTTTTTTATTATTATTATTTTATTATTATTTTATTATTTATACAGCGCCATCAAATTCCGGAGCGCTGTACAATGGGTGGACTAACAGACATGTAATTGTAACCAGACAACTCCTTCACTACCATATTTGTTTAAAAACATTGCAATAACATTTATCTGAAACATGAGATGCATAGCTAAAGCATAAACATATAGTAAAACAGCCATTTTTTGTGTTTAGATTACTTTTCGTATACATTTTGAGGAATGAAAAGCTTTAGACAGTATAAAATATCTCATATCGTTCTATGTTTTATAAAGAGCCTGAAATGGTATTATAAAAGCAAAAATAGAATTATTGTCACATACAGTTGGTGTGACAAAAATACACACAGAAAAAAATTGTCAATTTATAGATATTTCTAAGAACCCTAGAGGTATTACTAGCAGTACGAAATGGTAATAGAATGTAAACGAATGTCTGCATTTAAGCATAATGCTTACATACAGTAAATGCAGATAATTTTTATATATTTGAAACTGCTACATACATTTTTATCAATATTCTGGAAAGCAAATGCAATGATAACAGTGAAATTGGAAAGCCCATTCACTCTTCCACTTGCTTGACTGTAGGAATGCCATAACCCACTGAAACATCTGTTACTGGGAGTGTGAGCTGCCATTTTCAATACACCTGCAAACATTAAATGAGTGGCCAGTGGCTCCTGGCAGAGAAATTAATTAATCTGCAGGCTGGTAATCCTGGAGTATTAACAAAGGAGAGTGAGGCCTTATAGACTCATTTGTTTCCAACATAAGCTAAAGTAAAAATGTTCATACATAATTCTGGGTGTAATGGGGTTAAAAATCTTAGCATTGGCCACTTAAAGGACCACTATAGTGCCAGGAAAACATACTCGTTTTCCTGGCACTATAGTGCCCTGAGGGTGCCCCCACCCTCAGGGTCCCCCTCCCGCCCGGCTCTGGAAGGGGGAAAGGGGTAAAAACTTACCTTTTTCCAGCGCTGGGCGGAGAGCTCTCCTCCTCCTCTCAGCCTCCGATCCTCCCCGCCGGCTGAATGCGCACGCGCGGCAAGAGCTGCGCGCGCCTTCAGCCCGCCGCATAGGAAAGCATTTACAATGCTTTCCTATGGACGCTTGCGTGCTCTCACTGTGAAAATCACAGTGAGAAGCACGCAAGCGCCTCTAGTGGTTGTCAATGAGACAGCCACTAGAGGATTAGGGGGAAGGCTTAACCCATTCATAATTATAGCAGTTTCTCTGAAACTGCTATAATTATGAAAAAATGGGTTAACCCTAGCTGGACCTGGCACCCAGACCACTTCATTAAGCTGAAGTGGTCTGAGTGCCTAGAGTGGTCCTTTAAGAATAGTGATTACAAATTATTCTATTATTTTATGGAAAACATGTATCAGCCAAACCAATTTTAATGAAAATAGAACTTTGTTACAGACATGTGTCAGTTCCGCTCTGGTGAATTTCAGTACTGAAAACCTGATTCAGAGGAACGAAAAGGTAAAGAAAATGGACCAGTGATTGTATTGCAAAATATATACATAATAGAATAATAATATGTATAAATTTTGCACTAGACTAATTGGCCATTTTCATAACCAATATAAGAAAAAACAGTAGGAGCACTATATACATTATATTTTTTTTAATATAATTTATTATATGATTTTTTATTGTTTTTTTACATATAAATAGAGCTTTTTATTTAATGCTCCTCCTCCCCCTCTCTCTATTGCTCACTTCTCACTTGATCTATGAATAAAATCAACATTTAGTGACTGTCTTCTAGAGATTAATATAATTTTTTCCCATATCAATCCCCTCCTTTTTTGCACCACATGTGGAATTCAGAATCACAAAACAAAACGAACATGTTTGGCCACTGCACAGCTCATCTGGCTTGTGATTCTGGTGCAATTTGGCTTGGAATTCGGGAATTCAACCGATCACTCGATTGATCAAAATGTCGTTTAATTGCAGTTCATACTGAAACTAAACTCCAACTCTATATTTTATTACTATGCAAAGTGAAGGCTGTGGTTGACATACATACAGGTGATACTCGAAAAATTAGAAATCGTGCAAAAGTTAATTTATTTCAGTAATGCAATGTAAAGGGGGAAATTAATATATGTGATAGACTCAATACATGCAACGCAAAATAGTTCAAGGCGTGATTTGTCGTACGTGCGATGATTATGGCTTACAGCTCATGATAACCCTAAATCCACAATGTCAGTAAATTAGAATATTACATGCAATCAATAAAACAAGGAGTTTAGAACAATATCGGACTTCTGATGAGTATAAGCATGCACATGGACTCAGTACTTGGTTTGAGCCACTTTTGCAGCAATTACTGCCTCAATGCGGCGTGGCATGGAAGCTATCAGCCTGTGGCACTGCTGAGGTGTTATGGAAGACCAGGATGCTTCAATAGTGGCCTTATGTCTCTTATCTTTCTCTTGGCAATGCCCCATCAGAAAAGAGGACTTTGGACCACTGAGCAAAAGACCAGGTCTGTTTTTTTTTTAGCCCAGGTAAGACACTTCTGACGTTGTTTGTTGTTCAGGAGCGGCTTGACAAGAGGAATATGACATCTGAAGCCCATGTCCAGGGTCCGTCTGTGTGTGGTGGCTCTTGATGCACTGACTCCAGCCTCAGTCCACTCCTTGTGAAAGTCCCCAACACATTTGAATGGCCTTTTCCTGACAATCCTCTCCAGGCTGTGGTCATCCCTGCTGCTTGTGCACCTTTTTATTCCACATAACTTTCTATTAATGTGCTTTATTACAGCACTTTGGGAACATCCAGCTTCCTTCGCAATTACCTTTTGAGGCTTTCCCTCCTTATGGAGGGTGTCAATGATGGTTTTCTGCCCAACTGTCAGGTCAGCAGTCTTCCCCATGATTGTGATTCCTACTGAACCAGACTAAGAGACTATTTAAAGGCTCAGAAACCCTCTGCAGGTGTTTAGAGTGGGACACTTTGAGCCTAGAATATTGCACCTTTTCACAATATTCTAATTTACTGAGATTGTGGATTTGGGGTTTTCATGAGCTGTAAGCCATAATCATCGCACTTATGACAAATCACGGCTTGAACTACCTTGCTTTGCATGTAATGCGTCTTTCCCATATATTAGTTTCCCCTTTTACGTTGCATTACAGAAGTAAATGGTCTTTTACACGATATTCAAATTTTTCGAGTATCACCTGTATACCTTCCTTAACTCTTTTGGTACTGGATCACAGAAAGTCATAGAGGAAACCTTGTGTAAAAGTGGTATAACATTGATCATCAATAAAAATGTCCCTTGTAGTTCATATAGCACATAATAAAACTCACTACTAATAATAACTGTGTTATTTATTCTGTGGTGTGTATACGGTCTCAAAAATGCTAAAGAAAAAAATATTTCCTCTGTATGTTGAGTAGTAGAAACCCTGTCCCTTTCCGCTAATTTTAAATGGTATTTCATTAAACATCAATACATGATCCCTAGCAGAAAAAAATGGATATACAGCAATTTAAAAACTCTGACTTACCTAGTTTTGGCATATAACTGCACATAATCAAAGTTTCTTATTTGTTTGGTTTCTTTCATACAGAATACAATCACTTCAAATGTTTGATAATTTGTTGAACCAGAGTCAGCATGTAAAGCATACACATGGTTAAACAGTTAAAGTGACATTTTCAATGTCTTTATTCTTTCAACTACATTTGGAAATGATAATGGATTTGCTTTTTTTGCTCACCGAGAACATTTTACCTTTACAAACCAACGCGTTTTATATCGTGTCCTTGTCTTGTTTGGAAAGCTGGCAGAAACCTGGGGTCACCGTGTTCTTTTTCAAAACGTTAAGGTTTATTTGTGTGCACACTGCGATATAGCACACGCACTAATCCATCACTGGCAGATACTGTGATTGTTCTACCTTGTTTTCCAGCTCTTCTATAAAGATACATTGTGCCTAATTGTCTAGAGCTTTTATTCCAAGGTCGTTACTTTCTATTCTGTAAACAATAGAACCATTTATTCTCTCAGCCTACGCTATGCTTATCCTCAGGTTTCTCATTTTTTTTATCAAAACAAAAAAAAAATGTATTTTATATATTAGAAACCATTTACACACAATACTTCTATCGTCCTACTAGCCCGTATTAAATATTGCAATTCTTACAGGGAAGTTTTAATATCTTTTAAATTAAATTAGGCACAAATTAATAAACTATGGGACATGTGTTACAGTCTGAGAGATGATTCAACATTCTATTTACAAACAGGCTTGGAATTATTTGTCAAGTGAATGTAGGCAGAGAATTCTAAGTCTCCCTCTACCTAAAGTTTTGAATTTAATGTTTTACAACGAGCTGCAATGTCATGTGACAAGTTGTATTTGGTTGCTACATAAAAAGACCTTTAAAGGGTGACTGGTAGATAAATGTGCCAGGGTACCTTTAGTAGCCCTTAAAAAAAAGAGTGGTCATTATTCATTATTTATATATTAATGAAGAAGTGTAAACGTGAACCAAAGTGTAACATTGAAAAGGAACTGAGTGACTGTTACAATAATGACAACAGTTGTCTTGCCATCATATGACAATGTCAGTCGGATGTACCATCAACTGTCATATTCATAACTACTAGATTAGCTCAGGTTTATTTGACACCACTTTCCTCCTACTTCCATAGAAAGACAAAGACGAAAGAGGATACCCTCTATGCAAGTCGTTATGTCATTGCTGGGAAGTAAGAATTGCTGGGAATTCAAAGTGAATGCAAAGTAAATTTCACAATTTAGGCCAAAATAGACAATTTAGAAACAAATCTACAAAAATCAGTTTTTAACTTTTGGCTATTTCGGCCATACATTTAAAATTTATTTTGAATTCATTTTTTTATTCCTGGCAATTCTCACTTTAGGGAGCAACCCTCTCTGGAAAAATGATTCCACAGTTTGATCCTCATAGAAACATACTCAGACTCTATACAATATAAAGCACGGCATAAGCACTTACATCTAAGTGATTTCTTTGAAGTTTTTCTCAAAGTTGCAATTAATTTATAAAAAGAACTTGTTCTTCCTTTATAGCCTGATAACAAGCTCTCGCTGTGGGCTGCCCTGACCTTCACAGTGTCTTAAGATTCACATGTTTTTGAAGTTTGGATGCTACAATTTAACAGATCAAAGCGTGTCCTACTGTAGGAACGTTGTAATATTTTGGTTTATAAAGTGTCAAGATTTTCCGATGTGTTTGCAGTACCTGGTATAAATGGTATGTCATTGTGACATGGGGTGTCTTTCCGTCTTGGTATATTTTGCTGCTGGGAACGCTCTGTAACTAAATGAACAAACTGGAGTTTTGTTGGTTAAAATTACAAATAATTCAGTTTTTACTAAATGTCTATATTTGAAACAAATATAGAAAACAATTACTAAACATTAAAACAAATCAATATGAGTAGATATTTTTTTCTGTGAATAAGTGTTAATATGATATATATTAGTGTGAATATTAGATCTGCATACCATGCTATTGCTTATTTTTAGAGATTAATTTTTAATATACAGTGAGGTAAGTAGCGTTGAAGGCTAGTTTTGCTTGTTAGTTATTACAAATAATCGATTCTAGAGCAGTTTAAAAAAAACGGTCTCATTCATAGGCAAAATTTAGACCTACTGGCCACTTACCTAAATATTTAGACATGATTTGCGTCAAATCATTGAATTTAAAGGGATACTATAAATGCAAGGATTACAGAGCTGTATTCCTGGCACCATAGCTCCCTCTACCTCCCCTGTCCCTCATGCCCTTGCCCCCACATCGGTTAAAACCCCTTTATTAAATTAGCTTGTCCCTCAATGCTCGGTCACGGCTCGGCCTCCTGTGACATCCCTCGACAAGTGGGCACTAATGTGCATGCGTGGCGAGTGCAGCATGCTCATTAGGCCTCCCCATAGGAAAACATTGAATCAATGCTTTCCTATAGGGAAATAGCTGATGCTGGATGCCCTCATGCAGAGCTAAAGGAAAATAATTTCTACTGCAAACTATTTATTTTACGGGTCGTCAACAAACTGAGGCTGTACATATTTTCCATTGCTTTTATTTTGGTTTGTTTATGTTTTCTTTCTGTCGAACAATGTGTTTTATTTTCCTACATCGCATTATAGCCTTTTTGGACTTTGTACTTAAAATAAAATGCATTGGCCTCTGGAAGGTTACTGGACTCTTTCTTCAACAAGAGTACATTTTTCCCAGCCGTCGAAACTGATTTTTTGTTCTTCATTTAACCCAGAGAACAAGTTATAGAACTGAGAAAATATTAAGTTGGTTAAAATACAAATAATTTTTGTTTTGCATCCATTTTTCAGCTTAATTTGCTTACTTTATACTTACAGTAATGGTTTCCATCCATATTCTATGGACAATATATAAGAATGAGGCTTGGCCACCATACTGAGCAGACGCATGGCGGCGAGCTCCTCATATATTTTGACATAAAGCCCACAAGTGGCAAACAATTTGCTTACTATTCATCACCAAAAGTGGCACCATCGTATCTGGTAACTGGCAAGCAACCAACGCTGCTCTCCCACCATGCATACCGCTGGAGATCTGGTCCTCAGCAACCGCGGCCTGGCGTTGACTCGGCAGGGAGGGGCGGTCGATCTCCCTGAAGGAACACAACTGCCTAGACGGCTGGTGGGTCCTGTCTCTCCCCCCCCCGGACCGGTGGGGGTTATTCCAGTCCCCACCTCCACCGTGATGGCGACGGACCTTGAATACTCCCAGGAGTCTGCAACTGACCCGTGGTAAAGTTGGGTGGAGGTCTTTTGCGCCACATTTGACCGCATGTGTGAGAAATTCTGGCTTCACATCCAGGCAAGGTCGGCACGATCCACCTCAGCAGCTGAACATCCACTCCCTAAGGATGCTGGCGTGTTGTCCTCCCTTTCCAGCCTGGAACCCCGATGGGGTCTTTCCCTGAGCACCCTCCACCTACCCGGGAGTCTCCACAACAGGATTCCATCTGGGACATTGCCCTGCACAAACGGACCAGTGGACAACGTGTTACAGTTCCTGAGAACGTTTGGAGCTGGGAGGTTGAATCAATTCATCTCTATGAGGAAAATTCAGCATCCCCATGCAGGGGGGACGCTGAACGGCAGGACTGCTTACTGTACAGCCCTGAGCCAGGAAGCCCCTCCAGTGGCCATCTAAGGAATGGCCACTTGGAGGTGTCCCTAGAGGCAATGAAAACACTGCCTTTTTTCTGAAAAGGCAGTGTTTACATGAAAAAAGCCTGAAGGAAGCTATTATACTCACCAGAACAACTACATTAAGCTGTAGTTGTTCTGGTGACTATAGTGCCCCTTTAATTTTTTTATTTTCTTATATGGCAATCTGATAACCGTTTTACTTTTTGTGTCTGCTAAAAGCCTGCACGATGTGGTGGTGGTTATTTTGTTCTCTTTGATAAACCCCTCAGTTCTTCATCTTTGCATAAAAGTTTACACGTTACTAGCGGATGTCTAATTTAGAATATGTATTACTCCTTTTTTTAAAAAAATTTTTACTACTATTTTTAAGCAGCCTGTCATTACAATCACTAGCATGTTTTCACAGCTATGACATTTTCGATATAATCAGTTCTTAACAGGCATGTTGGCTCTGATTACTCAATAAATACATTGATAGGCAAACCTTGCATGTTTTCTCCTTAATATTAAAAAATAAAAATAAACGAGACACTTAAATTTATATTCCATGTATCCACATACATATTGCCCCTCATTCTATTTGCTTTAATTAAATATCTAACACGTTCAAACTTGCTACCTTTCATTTCATGGTATTTTATTTTATTTGTGGATATTTAGCCTACCTATACTAAGCCTATCTAGTTCCTCCTCCTATTACATTCTTCCAATTCACATCTCCTTTCTTTCTTATTTTCTTTATCTGTATATTCCTCACATGCAGTGCCCAGGGACATTTTAGCTGCGAGGCAAACAAGGCATTTGCCTTGGGCGGCATTTTTCAGGGGGCTGCAAAAAAAGCCGCCCCCAAATGCCCAGGGCAAATGTCTTGTTTGCCTCGCAGCTAAAATGTCCCTGGGCACTGCATGTGTCTAACTGACATGCCAGGCGGGCGGACGGCTAGAGAGGGAGCACTTCCTCTGAGCTGTCTGCTCAGCTCCCTCGCGCACTGCAGAGTGAGGCCGGAGCTGGAATATGACGTCATATTCCGGCTCCCGGCATCACTCTGCGGCGCACGAGGGAGCTGAGCAGACAGCTCAGAGGAAGTGCTCCCTCACTAGCGCCACCCACCCAGCAGCCACTGGACCCCTAGGGTTAAATGAAAAAAAAATGTGTTAATGTGAGTGAGTGTCTGTTAGTGTGTGTGTGTCTGCTAGTGTGTGTGTCTGTTAGTGTGTGTGTTAGTGTGTGTCTGTTAGTGTGTGTGTGTCTGTTAGTGTGTGTGTGTGTGTCTGTGTCTGTTAGTGTGTGTCTGTGTGTGTCAGTGAGTGTGTCTGTTAGTGAGCGAGTGTGTGTCTGTTAGTGAGTATGAGTGTGTCTGTGTGTGTGTGTGAGTGTGTCTGTTAGTGTGTGTGTCTGTTAGTGTGTGACTTACAATGTTCTGGAGGTCCTGTTTCAAGGATACTGGTTTATAACACATAGTAAGTCTGTCTATACAATTATTTATTTAATGCATATTATTTTACATGCATATTAATTTAGAAGGTATTATGCAGATGTATGCAGTGCTAAATTTTGTATTAGTATACAATGGTTTAATCAAGATATTGTTAATGCACACTAACCATTAAACATTTTAAAATAAATTCAGAAGAAAAAAGGTAACATTTATAAATAATTTAGGATATACACATAGCTTACAAGGGAAGACATGTATTTTGTGTTACAAAAAACATTACAATATTTAAATGACAGATGAACCTATCAAATTAACAGAGCAAGAGATCATAGCTTCTAAAGTAAACATACTGTGCTATAAGATCTGACTAAAAAATGAAATGTTTTTATTAATGGAGGCTGGATGAGTCATAGTCAGTGGAGGTGTGAGTAGGGCTATGTATAAACAAAGTGATTTAACTCCTAAATGGCAGATAATTGAACCGTGAGACTACAAGAACATGATATTTACATCAAAACAGTTTCATTTAACTAATGCTGTTTTGGTACTTAGAAAGTCCCTTTATCATGCAACTGATTATTATCGGTTTTGCAGGTACACCCACAGTCACCGTACCTACAGGTGTAGCCAAAGTATAAAAAGTAAAAATGTTTCTTTAAACTTTCTAATAATTGTCAACACACATTACTAATTTAAGGGTATATTCACTAAAACAGCATTTTTTCTTTGTAAAATAGCAAAGAAATATAAAAAGATGTATCACTACTGAACTGCGATTGTTTTTTTACCCAGGCTGGGTATTTTGAACAAAATATTGAAAATTAGTAATGGTTACCTATTCACAATAAATCGCTGTTCAGTGAATACACCCCTTTTATTGTCAGATTCCATGTGGGCAGGATAGAGAGAAAGATATACTTTGTGTATTGGCAGTCCTGTTACAAAAAGAAAGAAACATAGCTATATTTTGTTTTCATTGTCTCTAAACCCATGTATACAGATTGTACTTAATGGTACCTATAGACTGTAAGCTCGTTTGAGCAAGGTCCTCTTAAACCTATCGATCCTGTAAGTTTTCTTGTAATTGTCCTATTTATAGTTAAATCCCCCCTCTCATAATATTGTAAAGCGCTGCGGAATCTGTTGGCGCTATATAAATGGCAATAATAATAATAATAATAATAAAACTAATGAGTAGTGATTAGAATGTTAGTAATTCAGCCATGCACATAAAATATTTTAAGACAGGTAAGTAGATCAATATGACAGAGAACAGTACCTGAACAGTACCTTTCATGTTTGGGCCAGAATACACACTTTGCTTTCTCTGTTTGGGAGACACATTCTGCAGTCAGATATAGAAAAAGACGAATTTAGAGTCACGTGGTTTATACTATGTATAATATAAAATGTGGTGTCCTCCTGTTTAAACGTTAAACACCCTGTACATGTCATAGTGAGTTGTACCTTATTGTACTTTGTCTCAATTATTGTGATTTGGGTGTAGTGGTTATGGTACTGAGAGTACTTCTTTAAAACAATGCTATGATTACTGCAATAAACAATAAAACAGTACAGTGCGCTATAGTGGCTATGGGGCTAGGAGACAGTTTATGGTTGCTCTCAGCCCATGAATCCTGGCCATACCAGGTATGAGGTGGTACCATTCAGCAGAAGGATGAACTTTGGATTTACGAGATCATCTCAGACTGGAAGAACCTCCGGAGCCACGGTAGAGCAAGGAAAATGTCAAGCTTTTTCTTCACCATTGGACAGCTTATCATAGGATTGGAGTCTCCATAAGCACTACAGATATATGTAGTAATTATGGGGCTTAGAATGACCCTTTAAAGACACGTGTGCTATGCAAAGCTCTTCTTTTCATTGTTTGGGCCAGAACACACTTTTTGTTTCCTACTTAGGAGACACATACTGCATTCAGACATAGAAAAATAAATTGAATCAGTCCAGACCCAGTAGATTCCATATTCCAAAAGATTGACCTGTTTATGAAGGTGGTTATCATGCTGAAGGATCTTCTGACAGACCCTACCATATTCCTGAACCCCAAGATTAAAGCTGACCATGGTTTTTTTGTTACTTACATAAATTACTATAGAATGCGTGTTGATCAAATGATAGTTAACTGTACAATTAACCGTTGCTTTCTGATCATCTAATGTAGGGTACATGCTGGTTTGCCAGGATGCTTCTGGATTTAAGATCCATGCCCCACCATTCAAAATTCTATTTCCCTAAAATCCATTTTGTGGAGACAAGTTAAGTTTACAGGTAAGCACAATTGCATCATCTGCACATGATAGAGATCTTCTGTGGTGATCTGTAATTGTGTATTAGCTGAGAGCACATGTGCTATTCAACATGACCCCTTCTGGTTAATATTGTTGTAACACAGGCAAACCTTTCACTAGTGATGTTTTGTACGTGTATGAAAATACCAGACTCTAGGATTTGTGATTTTTTTCTTTGCCCTCTCTGCTGAAAACAAAGCCTGACATATACAGATAAATATGTAAAAGTGTAGAAGTAAATGAAGACCCAAAATACTGTTTCCTTTTCTTCATGGATTACTCTGAGGCTCTTAAGACTGCACTGTCACTTATATGCATAATATCACTGGATTATCCTGTGGACATGCATTTTCTATAGATCTTGGTTTTCTACTCTACTGCACATACTCAACATACGAGAAACAGAAAGCAGTGCCGAGATGAGAATGGTCCTCCAGCATTCCGACCTGGCTCCACCATGTAAGGTGAGAAGGAATCTGTGGAACAATTTGGCGTACAAGTCATAGTAATGTTTTGTTCCTCTATTAGTTTTACATAGTATGGCACACGGGTATTAGAAGGATATTGGAGACACTGGAAAGAGATTATAGTGGGTGACAATAGACAGACATTAGGGGCTTTTGTGGGAGAAAAGAATACTAGACATAAAGAAAACAAACAAATTAAAAAGCACCAAAAAAGCCTAGATTAGATGTGTACTCAAGGCGTGTTCATACAATCCTGATTCCATTATAAAATTGTGCATGCCCTCTCTATTATCCCAAATGTAATGCAAGATGCTATGCCTGAGGATTGCCGTTGGGGTACCTCAAGTATATATGTTATACTTTTATGCACTGCAAAAATAAAAATAAAAATCACCCCCAAAAAATGTTTTGTTTTTTTTGTTATGGGGTGAATAAAAAATATAACAAAGGGGACAAAGATCATATGGAAAAATTGTACACATAACAAAATAAAGGAAAAGGAAATTAATAAAGAAGAAATTAAGCCGTAAAACCACAGAAAGGGGTGATAGATGTTTTAATGTTTACATTTCTATTTTATTTTTAAGGAACACTCAAAGTACCATAACCACTTTAGAACACTCTAATTGTTATATTGGCAAGATTGTCCTGGCACACCCCAATGCAACCAGTCAAACTGGTTGCCAGTTGTTTGACAACTTACCTGGGTCCACTGGCCCCTGGTCACTTTGTCTTTATGTATAGAGCTAAGCCTGACAATGCAGGGTTTAGCTCATTGGCTAAGTGTGATCAGCTGAAGCTGCAAACTTTCCATAAAAGAAGTGATGGGGACTTTGCAGTCCCCAGGTAAGAAGTCAAACCATTAGCAAACGGTTTGACTACTTACAATGGGGGAGCCAGAGCAATCCTGGCACCATAGCCACTACAGCACACAGTGATCCTTCAAATTATCATATAATTAAATTCTTTTTTTAGATTAAAACCATTTTACGACGACTGCCTTAACCATAACACTTACTTCTTCGTGTGTGGTGCTGATCCTCTTCTCATCTATCTCTAAGTGAGAAAAAAAAGAACACAAAACAATTCATTTTAATACTAAAATAATTCATAAATCTAAATTCTTACACATTTGTTCATACCCAAGAAAAAGGCAAATATTAAAGACCTACTATAACAAAAAAAACTTAACTTTCCTCTTTCAGATAACTCTGAGGGTTTTGTGTTTTGGTTATTCTCTAAAACATGGATTACTCCACACTGGCCAGAGAATGACGTATTTTATGTCAGAAGAGCAAAGCTGGAAAAGTACCTAAGCTGGAGAGTGTTTTAAATTTTGCTGTTCTACTCTAAAATTGGATTCGCTACTCTCTTCCTAAACGTGAATAATGGTTCTAAAGAGGATAAAATTAATCCTCTTTCCAGCAATCCAATGTTAACATTTTGATAATATTTTGGAGCAGTACATTAGTACAGAGATGACATGAGTAAGTAAGTTGAATTGGAGGTTTCTTCTAATTTTATCTTTCTCTTGACTGGTGAGCTGGTGATTGCTCAGGTCAAAGTCAAGATCCACTTGCGAGAGACTGATGAAACAGTAGTGCTAGCCCCCAAAAATATACAGAAGCCCACCATTAGAAACCCATAATTAGAAACCCATTATTCATTAAATAGCTCAAGTAATTATAGCAGGCCTCTCAACAGGATCCTGCATGCATGGAGAAATTCGAGTCATGGGGAACATGCGAACAGGGGACTTGGGAGACAATCAAAAGAAAGAAAAACAAGGCTCCTTAAGACCCAAGAAAACCCTTTTCATGTTGTGGTATGACTCCTGCTGTTGACAAGGGGCTGATCTGCCCAATGGTGAATTGGGTGTTCACATTATTTCACAACTTCGGTAGGAGTTCTGGTATTAGTAATTTTACAAGTGGAGGGGAATTTTATAACTCTTCCACTCATCCCTCCATACATACTGCTATCATTTGAATAAGCAGTCAATCATCATCCTGTTAACCACTTGTATCCTATACACTTACTGTTGTGGCAGTTGTCTTTTGTTGTTTGTAGTAGTTGTTGTTTTTGCTGTTCTAGGGATCCCTTTCATTTCCTTGGTTATTTTGTGTAATTACATTTATTAAGTCATTTTTATCATATTACACTTAGTTTTCAATAAAGGTTAGGACTTCTATTATTTAATTATCCTGTTCCCCCACTTCAAGGTTTTCTTGGGTCTCAAGGAAACGTCTTTTTCTTATTAAAGTGTTACATTAGGGGTATCTCTTATTTTTTGGGGAAGAGCCGAAGCAGGCAACAGCAGTGCTGTTGCCCCCCAGCCCTTGGCAATTCCCTGGGCTGGGAGCCAGTGTCTCTGACTATTTCGTTTTTTAAGGGGACTTAGGAGGTCTAATAATAAAGTTTCACGTTTAGGTGTAGGGTTTTTCATACTAAGCTTAGACGCTCCTGGTTTACTGGACACCACAGGGGTTGTTAAGCCTGCACAGTTGGACATGGGCTTCAAGGCACATTTTCCAGGCACTTAGCATGAAGCCCAGTTTCTAATGGTTTCAGCTGGTTGCAATTCATCACGTCACTAACTCACATTAATATACAGAAAGTAAGATACAGGAAAACATACAAATACAGTACATATTAAAGCAGGATACATAAGAATGCACAAAAAAATTTACTTTAAAACAAGACATCTAATAAATGTCACGAAGGCTAAGTATGTGAAATCTTATAATTTATTGTCAACTAGACTTCTCACCAAACCGATCACAATATCTTGGTGATGCACTGCTTATACAAAAGTTGCAACATGTTCAAAAGTAGTCATATACGTTACACATACTCTATAGTCACCAAAGCAACGTTTGCTTAATCAAGCAGTTTTGGTGTAGAGATCATGTCCCTGAAGTCTCCTGCATAAGTGAGTCTGCAGGGGCATAATCTATACAACAGAACCACTTCATTAAAGGAACACTATAGTGTCAGGAATGCAAACATGTATTATTGACTGTATATTTCTGAAGTGGTTGCTTAGGTAATTACCCCCCTCTCCTCACCCCTCTGATCGCAGTAAAACAGTGATTTTACCCAACTTTTTGCGCATGCAAGGCAAAACCTGTGCTACGCCAATCAGCATATCCTCATAGAGATTATTGAATCAATGCATCTGTATGAGGAATGTGGGTGAACATCCCCTGTATGGTGAATATACCTCCATGCAAATCGTGGAGGTGCTACACACTGTGCAGCATTGTACTAGAAAGCACCTCCAGTGGCCGTTTTAGTGACAGTCACTAGAGGTGTTCCTAGGCAGCAATGTAAACACTGCCTTTTCTCTGAAAAGGCTGTGTTTACAGTGCTAACCTGCAGAGAAATGCAATAGACACCAGAACCACCATATTAAGCGGTAGGGATTCTGGTGACTATAGTGTGCCTTTAAAGGTAAAGTTGTTGTTAACTGAATGCATTTCCAGTTAATTCTATTAGCTTAAGCTCAAAATTTTATTTTAGAATTTGCCTTAAGTAGACCTTCATTTAAATGATTTCTTCACTTTGTAATAGTGCTGAGGGTGACCTTAAAATAAAAAATATATATATATATTATTCAGTTGTTTTGGTAACTATAGTTGCCCTATAAATAGGCACTGGTTTTAGAGATATTACATGATGTCACATTTTATAACTGTTCGAAGTTAGCATAAGCGGTAGACGGGCAGTCATTTAAGATGACGATGCACAAATTCATGATATAATGTTTTGCTGTGTGTTGTATCAATAATGTAAAAACCATAGTACACTAAGTTATGTAAAAAGATAGATTTTATTGATAAGACATAAGTCAAACATCCTTTGGGAGGTGTCAACCAGCATTCTCATTCCTCCTGAATAATGTTGTCTTTGGCATGTACCAGATTGTCTCTCATGCTTTTAGATCTCTTATAAGCCAATAATGGGGCTTCACCGACATCCTTAAATTCTTTTTTCATACTCAATATGTGCCAGTGTTTTCAGACAATTTGTCTAATCTAGCTAGATTAGTGGAGAAAGTATGAACAAATCCTATTCTGTCTTTTCTGGTTTCTGACCCACCTCACCTTATCAATTTGTGGCAACATAACCCTTTTCTTAGCATCTTGTAACAGATCTGAGGGATAACCCCTCTATGCAAAATCTTCATCATGTCATCCACCCATTTGTGGTTTATTCTGATGCAGAATAGAGTAAATTACATTTTATTTGGATTATTTTTTATGACCTGGTTTCATTGTGGCTCACATAAAAATAATAATAAAAAACTTAACTCAAGACTGATGCACATTGTCTCCATTATAAAGATAATGCAAACACAGCCATGCTCCGACAATACCCAACATGGATTGACCTTTTGATTAAATTATAGAACACTCAGTAATGCACTCTAATGTGTTTAGAAGTTAGACTGTAACCTTGGGTGAGCAAAACTCTAGATCCTTTCTGTATCAGTCTGCATACTTATCTTGTTCTACTTTATGTAATATTTCATTGCAAGACATGCGATAAGTGCTGGCATTTTGTAAAATAGTAAAAATTTAAAAAAAAATACTTTTCATACAACATCAAAACAGATTACAAGATATTTCTTTGATTGTTGAACATTATTCAGCCTATCCTATAACCCAAGCTTGCTGCCCCAATGTTATATTTGCTTACATGTTCATATTTATGATTATGCTTAAAGGGCTACTCCAATCACCATGACCACTTCAGTGATTTGAAGTGGTCATGGTGCCCAGTGTCTGTAAGTGCAGTATTTCACTGTGAAACACTGCACATTCAAAAATTAACCCCATTGCTGCTAGAACAATAAACACCGGTTTTTGGTTGGATTAACCCCTTTAAAGTATGGCAAAATCTCACACACTAACCATAATCTATTAGATAATATTTTTCTTTTGTGCCTATAACGTTTGGCACTTCAGATGTTGTGGATTACATCTCCCTTGATGCTTTGCCAGCAGTATTGCTTTAAGAGCATTATGGTAGATGTAGTCCACAACCTCTGGAGTGCCGAAGATTGTGTAGCCCTGTGCAGTATTTAAAATGTCTAAAAGGAACACTCCCACCTCATTACAACTGCAGCCCATTGAAGTTGTTAAAAGGCAGGATTGTTCAGATGCCATCATACCTTCAAGTGTTAAATCAGTTTTTTGGGGGTTTAACCCAAAAGTTGGGGTTCCGGCACATGGCAGAGCTGCTTCCTTCCTTTCTGCCTCCACGGTATGAAGACTGTTTATCTGGGTGGCCCAGTTGTGCATAGTGTTCTACATATACATTTCCCAAAAATCTGAAGTTAAAATTAGATGTTTAAAATTAGGCGCCAGATGTTTAAGGTTGCGTGCTAATGTAATAAACATGTAAATTGACCTATTTCTATTATTTTATTAATTTTAAATATATATATATATATATATATATATATATATGTTGATGGTTGAAATTGATATTTTATTTTTATTTTTCTGGAAATATGACTTGTTAGTTCATGTCTAGCTTGGTAGAACAACATGCCATTAAAATCTCTGATGTTTTCTCAATCATAGAGGTCAATTTCAAAATCCTTTCTTTTTTAGTTCATTGGTCTTCTGTGTCTCTTACGTCACAGGCTTTCTATAAATATAATTTCTCAGAAGAATGAAAAACTGAATTTCTTTTTCCCATACGGAGGGCCTATTTTTCCTCTGCTTTTCAGAAGCCGATTTCCTTTAAATTACAGTAAAATATCAGATTCATCTGCCAGCTATAAAATATTAAAAGGAAGCAGAACGTTAAGAAATGAAGCTAAAAGGTTGGTGCAGTGCCAAATCACACAATATAGCGTTGGACGTAGGTCTCAGAGGATCATGCTAAAATTGACTAGAAGGTTTAAAGTCCATTCGTACTCGTACTGTATAAAGTCCTCTTCTTTTTCATTCACTGTAACATTACTGTACTTTATAAGTTAAATTTAGAATAAAAAATGTACCATTCATGTGCTTTATTGTTGTTTTATTAGAGGAGATATTGCAAACGGTGTGTTCAATATAAACATCAATCCTGAAGAAGGTTCTGATTGATAGAACTATTAATTGTTTGGGTCATTCCCAAAGCATACATCAATAGTCTGGAGTCACTGCAATTAATGACATGCCTGGCTCACACTTAGCCTTTTTAGTTAAGCATGTGTGCTAATTGGTTATTAATAAACCACACCTTACTGTTTAGTAAATAAACACCTAAGACTAAGTGCACAAAACAATTAAAGAGACACTCCACTGTCCAGATAAAAATACAAACATAAAATCACTGTTAAGTAGATATAACCTCAATGAAAAAACATGCATGCATTTAGTCATATTTCCCATCGGGGTATATCTAAAATTTGCTTGCAAAAGCAGTAGATCTCTTGTCTGCTGCCTTTGCAAGCCCTCCCCTTCTAACACCACCCAGACTTTCTGTGGCTGTCCAATTACAGACCAGCCAATGCAGTTTAAAATGAACTCTTAGCAAAGCAGTCTGGGCAATTGCCTGTCTCTTGAGTTTAGCTCCACTGGGCTAAACAACCCAGAATGTAAAAGGAGCTATTGTCTGCCTGACCGACTAGGGTGAAACTAGGTTAATTTATAAAAGTGTCAATTTCTACTGATATCTGCACTTTTTGTAAAATGAAAAAAAGGACACTCTCATCACACGGAAAGCACTTCAGCTTTCCAAATCTAGAATGTCCCTTTAAGCTGAATAAAACGTTAGGTTCATCGTTGCCATCTACAACTGGATGCTGTGGTAACATTTGAGACTGTAGAAATACATCTGTGCATTCACACTCATAAATATATCTTTGCATTCACAAATACTGACACTAGCACATTCACTCAATATAATATGCACACATGAATTCATAGGCCGTCTGAAAATCACGTGCAATGTAGTATCCAGTTTATTTAAAGCAATACTTCAAACACTAAAACCACTACAAGGTTACCTTCTATTGAGCTCCCTTTACCTCTCTTGAGCTATGCCCTGCAGTGCATAGCATCATGTTCTAAAATAATTTGACTATTTAGAATAGGAGGTGCTAGGGCACTTTTGGCACTATAACCATTACAGCGTGTTGTAAATGGAATGATGCAATATGGAATGACAAATTTTGGATCATTGGATACACAAGCGGTTGACATAGAAAATGACATCATAGAGTGCACTACGAATGACAAAGAAGATATGATAATGGCATAGCATGGAATAACATGGCATATGTTATTATGGAATGAAGTATGGTGTATGTTACTAGGGGATGGAATGTAGAATGATGTGTCATGTTATTATGGAATGAAGTATGGTGTATGTTACTAGGGGATTCAACATTGATCAAACTCCTTACTATTTATTTTTCCAGAGTTCTGTTTGCAAAACAGTCACTGCTTTGTTATATTTGATTGACACGACTCTTGCTTTTGATTCATCCACAACCCCCATAGATGGATGTTATGAGGTATGTACTCACTGTGGCCAGCCTCTTCTCCAGGGCCCCCCAAAGCTGGCCCTGGTATTACCCGGTTGGCGGGCGCGCGAGGGAGCACTCTCCCCTGAGTGCTCCCTGCCCAGCTCCCTCGCGCTACGTACTGATGCAGGAGCCGGAAGATGATGCGCGCCCGCTAGCCTGACCGCCCGTTAACACCACTGGACCCCAGGGAATCCCCTCCGCTCTCCCAAAGGTAGGGAGGCTGGGGGATTCATTTTTTTTTTTTTTTTAAACATGTGTTAGTGTGTGTGTGTTAGAGTGTGTGTGTTAGTGCTGGAGTGTGTGTGTGTGTGTGTGTGTTAGTGTTAGTTTTTGTGTCAGTGTGTGTGTTAGTTTGTGTGTGTGTGTCAGTGAGTGTGTTAGTTTGTGTGTGTCAGTGAGTGTTTTACTGTGTGTGTGTTACTGAGTGTGTTAGTTTGTGTTCGTCTGTTAGTGAGTCTGTTTGGTGTCTGTTAGTGAGTGTGTGTTTTGTAAGTGAGTGTGTATGTGTCTGTCAGTGAGTGTGTATGTATGTCTGTCACTGAGAGTGTGTCTGTCAGTAAATGTGTGTGTCTGTTAGTGTGTATGCGTCTGTTCGTGAGAGTGTGTGTATGTTAGCTTGTGTGTATGTGTCTGTTCGTGAGAGTGTGTGTGTGTGTCTTCAGCACTTAACTTTTCTCCAGCGCCGGACTCCCTTGGCGCTGTGGATCCCTCTGCCCCGATCCACCGCTCAGTTCCGAATGCTCATGCGCGGCAAGAGCCGCGCGCATTCAAACCGCCCATTGGAAAGCATTACTCAATGCTTTCCTATGGACGTTCAGTGTCTTCTCACTGTGATTTTCGCAGTGAGAATCACGGAAGCTCCTCTAGCGGCTGTCAATGAGACGGCCACTAGAGGCTGGATTAACCCTCAGTGAAACATAGCAGTTTCTCTGAAACTGCTATGTTTTCAGCTACAGGGTTAAAACTAGAGGCACCCAGACCACCTGGCACCCAGACCACTTCATTGAGCTTCATTGACCACTTCTGTAGTGGTCCTTTAAGTGTATGTGTATCTGCATGCACTGGCGTACATACCGCGGTCGCAGGGGTCACAGCCCTGTGTTGCGGCCCTGACCCACGCAGAATAAGTGCGGATGGGGGGCCCACGGATCAGTTTTCGCACCGGGGCCCCAATGGGTTGTGTGTACGCCACTGATGTTACCTATTTACTGAAATCTTAAAGTCCTTTTCTTCTCTTCAACTTGCATTCAACAGATCTAATTGTCTGTTTTACTCCAGGCTTAAATGTTAATATTTTGTAGGGTAGTGTGCTAAAGTAAGATGCTACCATTGCTCCCAGACAGAGCTATGCCTATGTTTGGCTGAACTACTCCTCTAATTGTTGCCGTTATCTCGTGGTATATAGATCAAACATGGGCCATGTGATAAAAGGAGTTTTACTGGACCTTTAATTTTGTTGCAACAATAATTTGATTCCAGGTTAATAGGAAGAAGTCAGAATCTGCCAAAAGATTACCGAGGTATCTGAAATTAGAAGCACTCTAAACAGAACATTATTTTCTTAAGTGCATCGCAGGCAGTAAATTATCGATCCACTTTACAAGTACAGTAAATGCCATCTTTTGATAAGACATATTTAATGCTGGTAGACATCTCCAGGATATTGCAATATTTTATGTAAATAAATGCTACCAATAAACTGAAATTTGGATCAATTACTGTATCAAGACATTGCTAAGCACTTTTACTCTCAGTCAACATACGTCTTTGATTGATATTAATTGCACTGAACCTTGCAGAAAAAAATCTTGGCAAAGGACAGATGGATGGCTATGTTACAATCAAACTTGTGATTGTCATATAAAATGTATAACAGTTTATGGTTGTTTTATAGATTTTCAAAAAGTGCGTTTTTATAACAGAGTAAACATAATTGCAACACAAACTAAAACTGAAAATATAATTGCCAAAAGTTACTACTGTGAAATCAACATTATAAGCACCATAAACAGGGCCGGATTAACATAGAGGCTGATGGAGCTGCAGCTCCAGGCCCAGGCCCATGGAATAGGCCCATTGATTTAAAAAAAAAAAAAATAATAATTTTTCACACACTACTCTTAGGGATTCCACCTGGCTTTTATTTTATTGGCACAGCCAGTATTTGAGGCTGCCTGGCTGGTGCCAATATTGCAGTGATATTGGCAAGACAAATGCTGGTATTTTTCTCAGGATAAACAAGAGATTACTATGCAATACTAGCACTGGCCAGTAGGGGTCGCTGTGTGTAGAGACAGGCAGAGATAGGAAGTTCCAGCAAATCTCTCCCTGTCTATCTATACTCACTGACCTGCAGGGGTGCAGCTACAGAGAGTCCAGACAGCAACTCCCACCCTGCAGAGACAGCCTACAGCTCAGGGAAGTAAGGGATGGGGGGAAGGCTGCAAGGAGACGTATACTGAGACACTAAGGGACATTGGGAGACATTATGACAGACACATGGGGACACCGTGTCCCCATGTCCCCTGCCAGTGTCCCTGGTGTCTCAGTACCCCCTAGTCTCCCAGTGTCTCACTGTCCCCATGTACCCTAATGCCTCCATGTCTCCCAGTGCCTCAAGTGTCTCAATGTCCCCATGTCTCCAAGCTAGTGTCCCTAGTGTCTGTGGCCCTGGTATCTCAGAGTCTCCATGTCTCCCAGTGCCCCCATGTCTCAATGTCCCCATGTCCCCCAGCCAGTGTCTCTAGTGTCTGTGTCCCCATGTCTTCAAGTGTCCCCTATTTTCCCAGTGGCCCCATGTGTCTGAGCCAGTGTCCACTAGTTTCCCAGTGTCACTGGTGTCTCTGTGTCCCTAGGTCTCCCCGTGTCCCCAGGTCTCCCCGTCTTCCTAGTGTCCTAGTGACACATACATGGGGACATAGACACATGGGAATACTGGAGGACACAGGGAGACATGGGGCATTGAGACACTGATACATAGGAACGCTGAGACCTGGAGTAATCAACACATGGAGGCACTGGGAAACACTAAATAGTTTTTTGGTGATTTTACAGCATTTTCTCTTATGTCACTCCTTGTGATTTACATCATGTGATATCACCCATACATATTTAATTATGCAAATTAGTAAGGCCAGTCTGTTTTTCCAAGAAAGGTGGCAACCCTAACTACTTTTCACATACTCTTGCTTAAATATGGAAACTTAAGAGGGACGTATGGGAACAAAACTTGTGTGGACTGGCTGACAATGAATATAGTTAAAGGGACACTATAGTCACAAGAACAACTACAGCTTATTGAATTTGTTCTGGTTAGTAGAATCAATACCTTCAGGCTTTTTGCTGTAAACACTGTCTTTTCAGAGAAAATGCAGTCTTTACATTACAGCCTAGTGATAACTTCACTGGGCACTCCTTAGATGGCTGTTAGAGATCCTTCCTGGGTCATGGCTGCCTAAAATGCATCCAAACATTCAGTGTCTCCTCCCTCTGCATGCAGACACTGAACTTTCCTCATAGAGATTCATTAATTCAATTCATCTCTATAAGGAGATGCTGATTGGCCAGGGCTGTGTTTGAATCATGCTGACTCTGCCCCTGATCTGCCGTTTTGTCAGTCTCAGCCAATCCTATGGGGAAGCACTGTGATTGGATCAGGCCACCGCTTCTAATGATGTCAGCAGACTGCTTGTTTTTCTGAGTCTAACAGCATGCAGAGTTACAGCTTCAGGCTTGAATACAGTAAGATTTTTACTATATTTATGGAGGCATGAGGGGCCCATGGGGGTTAGATGGTGGTGTTAACACTATAGGGACAGGAATTCATGTTTGTGTTCCTGACCTTATAGTGATCCTTTAAGGTAATGCTGACTTTGGTCTCTCTAACACTGTGGCATGTTCCCTTTCTTCTACACTCACTACATACAGCTTTTCTCTGTCCCAGACTATATACCAGGAGCGTCTGCCTGCTAGTAAGAAGGTAAGGAGACAAGCGGACCAGAGAGTGCTAGGGGACAGTCCTTAGAAAACGTTGAGCGAGCGCATCATTAGGTGCATTTATGCCAAGCTCAGGGTGCTGTCTGCATAGTATGCCCTTAGTTGGCCAGCTGCATGATTGTCAGGCAGTCTGACATGCATTCATGCCAGGCTGGCCTTCTAATTCTTTGGGCAGATGTCCTCTTTTTGGGCATGTTAGCCCCTTTTGGCAGGTCACATGATTTGTGTCAGTGGCACACCCTTTTACCATGCCCATTGACTTCCTGCTTGACTGGACACTGCTGTTAGGGGTTATGGATTTACTTGAAAGATGAAAACATAAATTAGAGGGAGATTAGCATAGGGTATTTGTTTTCTTATAGCTGCTGTTTTCTTTCTCTCCAGCACCATCTCCATCAGATACATGACGCTTGGGAGTGTTTTAGGTCGATATGATTCTTTAATTAGGCCCGTCATAATTGTCACCACCAGGCCCACTGGGCTGTTAATCTGGCCCTGACCATAAAGACTACAGTGTATTGCAGTGGTTAGTTATAAAGCGAGGTGTTATTGGTGAAGCCCTTCTGGTTTTTGCCAAACCATTGACCCAGCAGACCAAGTTCATCCCCTCTGTTTAGTGGATTATAAATAAACTTCATTACTAGTGCAAAATATGTGTATGGTGTGGACATGCATTGTGTGCACAATCAGTGTACGGAAGGGAGCACTAGGGTAAAGAAAGGGAAGGCAGCAGTGGTGTAGTGTAGGGTGGGCCACAGGGGCATTTGCTCTGGGTGCAAAATTATTATGGTCGCAAAATTACAAAATTTAAAAAAAATAAAAAAAAAATAACACACCCTCCCCTACACAGAAAATCTCCCAAATGTTCAAACATTCTACAGTTTTTCAACATGAAGGGGCAAATAAACGTTACCACGTAAAATTTTACAGTATTTTACTTGCTAATTACAGCCATATTGTCCTCATTTAATCCTTATCAGTTATTTAATACCGCAGCTAACTTCAAACGGTAAATCAAGCTAATAATAGGCATTATGTAAATGCCTATTAAATGGTCTCACTAGCTTATAGACTATACACATTATTTTAGGCGTGAGGTGGTTTTTAAAAATTACGCAACTGTCAATGTTATACAAATCACAGAGACAAGGTGGGTAGGAAAGGAGGAGCAAGACAATCTAGGCACCCGTTAAGAGACTCGGGGAGTGCTAATGCTCCACAGGTTAGGGGACACAATACTTACCTTACCCCGGGAACTGGCAACTCACACTGCACCACTGAAAAGCAGCACCAAACATCCCTTTAGGCATGTACAATTCACCTTTAATCGTTACAGCCAGTGGTGCACCGACCACGGTCGCAGGGGTCACAGCTGCCACCGAGCAGTCACTCCACGTGGTCCAGCTGCAGATTTGACCCCTGTGACCATAGGCTACCACAACTTCAGGGCTGGTGTGGCAGCCCAGGGCCTGTGGTTGCCAGGTGACCGGCAGGAGGGAAGTGCTGTCCTGTGCGGCTCCCCTCCTGACGATCTCTGTGTGTAGTGCAGCCAAACGGATTGCGGCCTCACGGGAAGTGCTCATTGAGAGAGTACTTCCTCCCAGAATGGTACCATTCGGCTGTGCTACACAGAGTCAGAAAGTTGGTATGGACAAATGGAGGGGCTGGGGTGGTGAGGGGGTAATGTGACAAATGGAGGGGCTGTGGGGGAGAAGGAATATGACATATGGAGGGCCTGAAGGGGGATAGGATATGTGACACATGGAGGGGCTAGGGGAAATGAGACAAAGAGAGGGGCTGGGGGAGAATGACACACATGGAGGGGCTGGGGGGTAAATGACACACATGGAGGGGCTGGAGAGAGTGACTGAGACACCTGGGGGAGGGAATGAAACACATGGGGAGGGGTGAATGAAAAATGTAGGGGAATGAGGGGGAGCAGGGCAATTTTCTAGTTACTTGTTTGCATAGACAAATGTGAAGTTAAAGGAGTTCATTGCAATTTGGCACAGAACACTGAACAAATCATAGTAGTAGTAGTTTAGAAATCTATAAAGAAGTAAGTTATAGACTCAGGGTCAAATATTTGAACCCAACATTATCACTAGTTATTATTCATTAGTTTCGACAAGTTTTGAGTAACATAAAGCATTGTATATTGGTTTCATTGTGAGCTTGGCAATGAAAAATTATGACAGTAATCTGAAGGAAATGGTGATCTACGATCAAATAGGGGTCAAATCTTGAATGCCATTATGTGTATATAAAGTAATATGATTGTCTGTAACCTCATAATTTCAGGATGAGCCTGACACCATCCAACGCTGTGCCAATGTATATTTAGCACGTTAAACACCTGAATCACAACAGTAAATCAGAGGCTTATTATCCATATATAGTTAAGATTTGATTCAAAGCTAATAAAGAATTTGATTCAATAAAGCACATTTGAACAGACATTTTGGCACAAAAAAGGAAGTTTTTATGGATACGCTATACAGAAAGTGCAAATAAGCCAAGACAAATAAGCAGAAATAAAAAACAGAGCACACATCAGAATTTAATTCTGATTCATGAATATTTATTAACTATGAAAATAATGCAAAAGATCTTCACAGCGCCCCTCACTGGTCACATATAGTGTATGTATAGGGGTTTAGTGTTTGTTTATTAAATGAACAATTATTAAAATAAATAAAATAGAAATATTAATTCCCACTTTGCTGTTGTTATGTTGCAGGGAGGAGGGGGGTGGTAATATTTGGGATGGTTATTTATTTCAGATTAAAAACTACAGTTGCAGTAAGGCCCATGTGTGAGTGCACACTATTTTTGTAGTGTCACATGCACACAGTCCCACAGTCAGATGCACACAGTTATACACATATACTGTCAAATACAGTCACATGCACACAGTCCCAGGCACAAAGTCTCTCACAGTTACAGGCAGACAGTTACACAAACAAAGTAAGAGGCAGACAGTTACACACACTCACAGTTACAGGCAGTCACACAAGCAAAGTTACAGGCAGTCACACAGTCACAGGCAGACAGTTACACACAGTTACAGGAAGCCTCACACAGTCACAGGGAGACAGTCACACACACACAGTTACTCACAGGCAGACAGTCTCACACACACAGTTACAGGCAGTAACAGACACTAGTTACTAGCAGGCAGTTACACCAGACAGTTATGGGCAGACAGTTACACACACAGTTACAGACAGACACATACTCTATTTCACAATTACAGACAATAAGGGCTGGGTCCGGTGGTGTATTTTGGTTTTGTGCTGCCCTAGGCATGACTAAACCAGGGCACCCCCTAATCTAAATTTACCCCACCCATTCCTGTAAAGGCCACACCTCCTCCTTATTAAGAACCCACCCCTTCCTCTTTAGACTCCACCTTTTCCTACTCTTTTTAAAGGGATACCATAGTGCCAGGAAATCAGCTGACAGACACATATTGGATGATACACACGGACTATCACACACACACACTCAATGACAAACACACAGACGTCACTGACAAACACAGACTCACTGATTTGACTCACACAGTCACTGACTGACACACACTGTCAGATACACACTGACAGCCACACACACACACAGACGTCACTGACAGACACAAACTCCCTGATTTGACACACACACAATTGCTGACACACACACTGATAGACACTCATTGACAGACACACTGATAGTCTCACACACACACACACACACACACACTCAATGACAGACTCTCACTGATTTGACAAACACTCACAGACACACACACACACATACACTCACAGACACACACTCACACACATACAAATTATTATATTTTAATAATACAATGTCCACCCAGCCTCCCTACCTGGAGTGCTGGCGTGGACTTTTCCCTGGGGTCCAGTGGGGCGGGCGCCTCTCTCCAGCTCAGCCGCAGCGAGGGACCTGTCTGCTACCTCTCGCCGCGCGGGCTGTCTGCTGTAGCTGGGAGACGGAATATGACGTCATATTCCGTCTCCCGGCATCGGCAAACGGCGCGCGGCGAGAGGGAGCAGAGAGCAGACAGCTGGAGAGAGAGGCGGGGAATCCATCACCTCTTGCCCTCCCCATGACAGGGGCAAGAGGTGAGACAGGGGGCGCTGAGGGCTTGCAGGGACAGCGTTCCTGCTCAAAAAAAACACACAAACACACACATGCACTCATACACATACACTCACTAATTATTCCAATTATAAATTAACATTTTCCACCCAGCCTCCCTACCTGGAGAGCTGGTGTGGATCTTTCCCTGGGGTCCAGTGGGGCTGTTGGGAGGTGTGCAGCTGTGTTAGAATCAGCGGCGGCAAGGGAGCTGTGATCTCCCTGCTCTGCTCCCTCGCGGGCCGTCTACTGATGCCGGGAGCTGGAATGACGTCATATTCCGGCTCCCACGGCATCAGCAAGACTCATAAGGAAGACTTATTTCTTATTTGAGGACTGGAGTGCAGAAAACTGCCGTTCTATAAGGTTGGTGAAGCCTGTGTGTTATTTAGTTTAAACCTTGATAGTCAGGGATATTAATGTTAGTAAGTGCTCAGATGAGATAGGATTTTGTTTGAAGGGATGTTTTGTTTTGTGATTTGTCTCTAATGCTGCTTCCTGAAGTGAACTGTGTAATAAATTATCTGGATTTCTTTGATTTAACAATACTGTGTCTATTTAATACCCAAGAGGACCGTGCTATTTGCAAGGACATAGTGCCCTGTGTGGTTGCAGGTTCACAATGATCTTTTTATATGGAAAAATCTTTAGGAATGAACACACTCTTTGACACGCACCAACGGTCATTGATCCATACTCATTCTCAGTGTCAAAGTTTTACTGATAAATGCACAGACATCCATTGGCTCATATGCACATACTGGCTCATACACACTCACTGCAGATTTAAATGTAATCTGTTTCTTACTAGTGTTAAACAGGGGTCCCAGCGGGTCTTGCTGCCCCTTTTCTCTCTCCACTTGGCCTCACGGACATGATGTCATGCATCTCTTTAGCCCATAATGCTAGGACCACTCCACTTACCTCCTATTGCTCCACTGGACCCATCCCACCTGCTTTTTTTCCCTTCAGTAATGGCCAGCCCCAGAGTACAGCAGCCCAATGAGCTAGTCCAGGCATGGAAAGGGAGAGTGAAGCTCTGTGTTTTACACCCCCCCCCCCCTGTCACCCAGGCATTGCACATCTAAGGCCAGTGTGCTTTAAGGCAACTGCCTGTGCCATCTTATGGTAGTGCTGGCCATGGCACCAGGCATAGTATATGGAATTTTGTATCTAGGAGCGAGTGCCATTGTCCATCTTCTATGTTCGGGGAAATGTCCCTGAACATAGACAAAGGCAACAGAAAAGGGAAAAACTCTAATCTATGTTCAGGGAAATTTAATTTAAGGGATTCCCTGCTCTGGTGTGCATGTCTGTTTTCAGGGACATTTCCCGAACATAGACGAACGCACAATAGCAGGCAATCACTCTAATCTATGCTTGGTGAAATTTCCCCAAACATAGATTAGAGGGATTCCCTGCTCTGTTGCGTTCATCTATGTTCAGGGAAATATCCCGAATATAGAAGAATGCAGCAGAGCAGGGAATCCCTCTAATTCCCACGATGGCTCGCACTTACCACCCCGCGAGAGAGCCAGTCGTAAGTGCAAGCCGTCGCAAAGCAGGTAGGTCACAAAACAAGGGCCACCTGTACATACATACGTATATATATATTTATATATATATATATGTAGAGAAAGAGAGAGAGAGAGAGAGTGAGACAGAGAGAGAAAGAGAGACAGAGAGAGAGATTAATATATATATCTATATATACACACAGTATATACACAGTTTCTGTGTCCTTGGGCTATCATATTGTTATATTCTGGTTTCTCCTGTTACCCCTGTAGCCTTAGGGAATCACTGAAATTGCAATCAGAATGTGTCTTCCCTTGCAACATTTTGTTGACACTAACAGATATAACACTAATTAAACTTATAAATGATCATACACATTCATCAATATTCTAGGGAGCAATTTTACCATACAACTGGTGTGTTGTCTGTTTAAACACTTTCCTCTAGTTAACTAGTAACTCCATTTTGCAACATACATTCACCAATAAATATCAAACAATTTGAAACACTCACAGGCGTCATTACAAGGGGCAATTGCCATCCCTGGATTAGTCCTTGCCTCATGTGCCCCCCCACCTCAAGCACAAACGCTGGTGGGGTGCCCACCACTGTACAGGTGGTAGATCTTAAATGAGTAAGAAGGCACCTGCCTGCCATAGGCGTGCGCAGCCTATTGCATTAGGGTGTGCACCCTAAAGCACAAACACACGCCGCATGTGTGTGTGTGTATATATATATATTTATATATATATACACACACACACACACACACATACACTGCTGTGTGTGCTGTTAGTGTGCTGTGTGTGTGAGGGTGCTGTTAGTGTGATGTGAGGGTGTTTGTGTGTGTGTGTTTGTGACTGTGCTGTTTGTGTGTGTGTGTTTGTCCTGTGAGGGTGCTGTTTGTGTGAGTGTCGTGTATTTGTGAGGGTGCTGTTTGTGTGTGTTTGTGAGGGTGCTGTTAGTGTGCTGTGTGTGAGGGTGTTGTGTTTTTTTTTTAAAGGTGCTGTGTGTGTTTGTGAGGGTGCGGTTAGTGTACTGTGTGTGTGAGCTGTATGTGTGTAGGTGCTGTATGTTTGGAGGGATTGTGGAGGTGGGGGCAGATTTGTAAATCCTTGCTGCCATGTGCCATCCCTGGTGGTCCAGTGGAGAGTGAACTCTAGCCTGCGGGGCTAGAGTTAACTCTCACGAGATATCGCGAGAGGAACCTGGCGGAGCTTCTGTCTAGAGCTCCCTGGGTCCTCTCCTGCCTCCCTCCATGCTGCTGTGGGCTGGTCTCCCCGCCGGCCCATGGAGGCTTAGAGCAGAGCCGGCACTCAGATAGCGCCGGCTCTGCGCAAGTCGACAGGGGAGTTCGGGATTCCCACCCCCCCCCCCAAAAAAATATACACGTGTGTGTGCATATATATATATATCTATATCTATATATATATATATATATATAGATATATATATATATATATAGATAGATATTTATATATATATGTGGCGTACACACACACACTCACAGACACATACACTCACAGACACACACACATTCACAGACACACACACATTCACACACATACACTCACAGACACACACACACACACATTCACAGACACACACTCACACACATACACTCACAGACACACACTCACAGACACACACACATTCACTCACAGACACACACACACATTCACTCACAGACACACACACACATGCACTCACAGACACACACATATTCACAGACACACACTCACACACAGAGATACACTCACAGACACACACACACATACACTCACAGACACACACACACACACATACACTCACAGACACACACATACACTCACAGACACACACTCACACACATACAAATTATTATATTTTAATAATACAATGTCCACCCAGCCTCCCTACCTGGAGTGCTGGCGTGGACTTTTCCCTGGGGTCCAGTGGGGCGGGCGCCTCTCTCCAGCTCAGCCGCGGCGATTGAGCTGTCTGCTCCCTCTCGCCGCGCGGGCTGTCTGCTGTAGCTGGGAGACGGAATATGACGTCATATTCCGGCTACCGGCATCGGCAAACGGCGCGCGGCGAGAGGGAGAAGAGAGCAGACAGCTGGGAGAGAGGGGGGGAATCCATCACCTCTTGCCCTCCCCATGACAGGGGCAAGAGGTGAGACAGGGGGCGCAGAGGGCCTGCAGGAACAGCGTTCCTGCTCAAAAAAAAGTGCAGGAACGCTGTTCCTGCAGGACTCAAACCATGGGCGTGCCACGGGGATTAGGGTGTGCCCAGGCACACCCGGCACGTCCCGTGCGCACGCCTATGCTGCCTGTCCACACTGCAGGTGCCTACCCTGCACAATTTTATCAGTGAATAGATGGCAAGGAAACTGTATACATAATTACTGTGTTCTCTCTGCACAGTTCCCTCTTACGCCCGACAGTGTGCTGGCAGCCTGGATATGTTGTCATGCCAGCATCACTACATAGAATGTGTAATGACTGTGTATGTCCGTGATTGTGTGTGCATGAAAATGTGTTTAGAAGATAGCCCAAATTAGGGTGCTGTTTAGCAGATAGCTCTGTTATTTAGTGTCCTTAAATATGGCAAACTCACATAAATGTAGCAATTTAGAGGGTTGTTTAATCTAACAGTTTGAAGATCAAAATTAAGGGGAAAAAAAGGCTTTTTTTCATTTTCAGCTCTCAGCTGTTTAGAAGATAGCTCCATAATTTATCCTTAAATATTGTAATCCCACATCACTATACAAAATTAGTGAGCTATCTGACATGTGCAGATCATATGAGTGGCACATTGTGATATCATACGGGCAGAGCATACATTGGTGTGGTTTGTATGATTTCACAATATGACCGTAGCACTAAGGAGGCCGCAAAATGTTTTTGTGTGCATAATAAACTGCCAAAAACATTAAGGTTTACTCAAGGCACCATAACCACTTCACTGATTTGTTGTAAACCCACCTCTGGCAACATCATTGGGATGTCATTAGCCATCCCAGGACAAGAAGTCTAATATGAATTTTGCAGGAGTCTGACGCTATTGCTACCTTTTACAGAGAGCTCTGTCCAGACCAGGAAATAGCTGAGCCAATAAATGTGCTTGCAATAACTTTAAGAAAGCCTGGGTTTATGGAACATATAGTTCAGCACTTGGCAGCAGTTCCATTCATCATGCCATAGGATGAATTTAAGAGCTACAAAAGCTGCTGACAGTGCTCTTCAAAGTTTTGTTAATGGAACAACGTGACATGATCATACAAATCTGCTACTACACAAGCAGCCCTCACATACACTCACACAACCATATACAGAAGAAACTCTAATCGCAGAATTATAAAGTTAGCTAAAAGAGACAGGTGGATAGACAGATACACCATGTGCAGGATAGGGAAGAGAACAGGGAACTTGGGTTTAAGTTCAGATGAAAGATATTTATGGAGAAGGGAAACGGAGGAATAGATGGAGAAGTACGAGAGATGGAATGATGGGGAGCTGAGACTGGGAATTGAATGAGGTTAAAAACCTTGTGGGAATAGTGATTGGGAAAAGGGGCAAATGCAGATAAAAGCAGGGATAGGAATACACAGAAAGAGGCTGGTAGGTAAGAGAGAGCGTAGGAAGATGTTACATACTGGCCAAGTCTATAAAAATCCCTGCACCAGTCCTGGGGGATGCTTATTTAAAAAAATGCAAAACATCCAAGTTACGCTGGGTAAAACCCAATACAACTTTGATACATGCATTTTATTAAAAGTAAGGAAAAAACAGCAATATGTTAACTACTAGTGGTGAAAAAAAAAAGAATTATTTTAGAAACTATTTCAGTAAAAAATTTTACGATTAACAAAATGTTGCGATATATAAAAATGCACGTGGATCCAGCAATCACTCTCCTGGTCTTGTCCTTGCCTGGGTGCAAATCACTTATGATAAAATACAAGTATCAGGGGCGTGGCCAACCGCGGAGCTGAATGGACGTGCACTAACTAGGCTCCCAGAAACCCGGGCAAAAATCCAACTTAATCGGAGACCTAAAGCGAACATGGGTAACCCCAAAAGACAGAACCAACTTCAGGGGCTGTCAGGAAAGACTCCCTCTTTGAAATCGGGCTCGCTCACCCGATATTTTAAGGATTCATTAGACCACGAGGCGGAGGCCACGGAATCCAAGATTGCGGAACCAGAAAACCAGGCGGACATGATACCGCCAAGCCCGGCACCATCCAAGGGCTCTCACAAATCTATGGATACGGGTTCAGAAGCAGACATCAAAGAAATACTGCGGAACCTGCCATCCAAAACTGATTTGGCAAACATGCTAGGGAAACTGGAAGCGATGTTCCAATCTAAAATGGAGGCGATGGGCTCTGACATTAACCAAGTGAGTCTCAAAGTTACAGACCTAGAAGAAGAACGTGACTTTCTACAACCTCAAATAACAAACCTGTCTTCTACAATACAATCCCAATCTCACTTCATGTCCTCTATCCAGCGTCATATAGATGACTTCGATAACCGGGGCTGCAGAAATAATTTACTCATACAAGGCCTACCAGAGGCCCAAGGGGAAGACGTGATGTCGACCCTCATTGAGCTCTTCAATTTAATACTCGGTGAAGCGAATGACAACCAGGTGATGCTGGACAGAGCCCACTGCTCCCTACGCCCCAGAGGACTGACACCTGAGGCCCCAAGAGACGTTATATGCAGGGTACACTACTTCTCAATCAAAAACACTATACTGAGGACCCTAAGGGACACATCACAACCGCTCCTGTTTCATGGAAACCCAATACAAATATACCCTGACCTATCTAGGTACACATTGCAAGCTAGAAGGGCACTTAAACCAATAAAGGAATATCAGCGGAACGGCAACATCAAATACAGATGGGGTTTTCTGTTTTCCCTCATAGTAACCAACAAGGGCAACACCTACTCGATAGCAACACATTTGGATGTAATCCCCTTCCTCAGAGCTCTTGAACCCCAAGACACAATGATACTCTCCCCAACTGAACCCAGAAATTTCTGGCCTCCTGCAAAAACAAAGATGGAACACCCCGGCGAAGAAAAGAAGAATGGATCAACACCTCTTCTCCCCTCACCGCAATCAGGCAACAACTCAAAGAGGCAACCAACATTAAAGGACACTTTTCTCGGAAAAAAGAAATTGGTACCCCTGAACCGCAACCCCTCCTCCGTTCCGAATATTCTCTCCAAAACGAGCTCGCATACTTACCAAGATCCAATCTAGAAGGGACTGGTAACAGCCTGCTCACGATCTTGGGCAAGTTCACTAGCCCACATATATATGTCTAAATTACTATTGAACTGTTTACTCAATTCAAGTGGACTTGGAGTAATGGGCAAATTGACAAACCAGCGATAAACAGGTCATATCACTTTTATAAATGTGCTTGTATATATGTCCCAAATTTTTGCAAACCACTACTACACTACTGTAGGATATGACGTATGTAATGACACAGCAAACCTTTTAACCCCCACTTAACTGGTCTACATAGAACGAAATACACTTGACTTCCCCCCATCCCTTCCTACACACCCTGACACCCCGCAACCCTATCAACCATATCACCTCCGGATCTCCTAAAGCTTCACTCTAGTATATAGGATTGGCGTACAAGCAACAAGCGTAAGGGATTCTACCACATCCCCACATTACTCAAAGCCACAAATGTTTATAACAAAGGCCATAGCTCCTTCAAAAATCACAGACTACAGTTGAATTATTTGTTGTTATTTTTATTTGTACTTGTATCGTTGGTTATACACTGCTAAGTTACTATCCTCTTTTCAAACGATTGTAGCAAAGTACTAAGCGTACACTATTAGCTCATTGAGAACACATCTTCAACCGGTCACCAGACCACACGGATACAGATTTGAAGACAGTGCTACTAGATTACAAGGTCTAGAGTAAACAGATACTTGCAACACCTTCCTCTTATAGACATAGTTTTGTATTTTTCTTATACATATAATTGCCCACCTATAGTAGACTGTAACACGGTCCACTCAGTAGCATACAGATATTGTACAAACTCGCTTACCGTCCAAACACCCGTTTGGGAGCCGAAGACATGACTTCAATTAAGATACACACACATAATGTCAGGGGTTTAAGCACTCCGGAAAAAAGGTCTATGGCATTAGCAGACTTCTATAGACACAAAGCAGAGATAGTCTTCCTTCAGGAGACACATTTCCGCAAAGGCTCGGCCCCGGGACTCCAAAACCGAAGCTACCCAAAAGGATACTTCAGCCATTACGCCGAAGCTAAATCTAGCGGGGTGGCGATACTGATAGGAAATCAAGTACCATTCACATTCCAGGCTCAACAAGCAGATGACTCAGGCAGATACATATTTGTGAAGGGGACAGTGGGGAGCACAACATTGACACTAGCAAATGTATACCTACCAAACAGAAAACAGACTCAAGCCTTAAAAAAGATCTTACACAAACTATCTACATTCCAGGAAGGCATACTAATCTTGGGTGGAGATATGAACATTTTGTTGGATACGGACCTAGATACCACCGCTTCCTCACATAATTATCTCACACACGCATGCAAAAACATGAGGAGCATTTTACATGATGCGCAACTATACGATGGTTGGAGGGCTCTCCACCCAACAAAAGGGGATTACTCCTTTTTCTCCTGCAGGAACTTACTCACGCATTAATATGTTGTTCTTCCAACATAGGTACCTCCCACTGATTAAATCAGCCTCATATGGCACCATCACTTGGTCAAACCACGCTCCTCTAACTGTGGACATAACCATCCCCACATCTTATACTTACTCCAGACACTCCCTATAGAACTCCCAAGAAAATTCTTTGACACGATCAGGACAACATTCACAAACTTCATATGGTCCAACACACGCCCCTGAATAGCACACAAAATCTTAATCAGTAGAAGGGAAATGGGAGGAGTAAACCTGCCAGACTTAGATTCATATCATAAAGCCATTCACATGACTAGGATATATGAATAGACCAAGGGTTCCCCGACGCAACAATGGGTAGTCCTAGAAGACTCATTCTTAGAAACGCCCATATGATTGATCCCATGGCTCACACCAAGCTTAACACACCTACAAAAAAAACATCCAACAATTAAAGCAACGATTAAAATTTGGTCCAAACTCTCACAAAGAAAGGCGATATCACCATTTGCCTCTCCGCTATACCCACTCACACACAATCCACTATGCAAAGAAGGGGTATCAGGGGTGGCATATACTCTGTACGATGGCAGGACTTACCTACAACTCCGGGACAGGATTTGGGATGGTAAAATCAGACCGCTATCACAAATTCTAACTAACACAACACCTACGGGTAACCAACACCTACACTACAACCAACTAGCACATTTTATCAAGAGCCAAAATCTCATACCCAATAGGAACCGTGATTTGACGAAATTTGAACAGATATGCAGCACACACACATTGACAAAGAAACTACTTTCTATTATGTACAGGCAGGTTCGGGAGTCACAGGACCCCGATCTCCCCAGATTCGCTACACGCTGGACAGCAACAATGGCAGACTATCTTTACGAAAGCACACACAACAACCACTTCCACTGCAGCACAAGAAAGCAACTACAAACGCATCACACGCTGACACTACACACCCACAAAAATTCACAAAATACAGCACACAACTCAAGATCAGTGTTGGAGATGCCACCAATCAGAGGCCAATCCAGCACATATATGATGGAAATGTCAGAGAGTAACCAAATTCTGGAGAAGCATACACACTCTCATCCAAACAATCAGCAACACTAAAATCCCTTTAGCACCATAATATTTTCTCCCACTAATGCCTCCTCCTCACCTCAAATAAGTGGAGACAATCCTAATCACTCACCTAATTATAGCGGCTGCACAGCTTATCCCCAAAAACTGGAAACAGGATCTCCCGCCCTCAATCAGAGAGTGGATTCAGAGAGTGGATTCACAGAGTAGAGGAAATCAAAAAGATGGAGGAAATAACGTATGCCATGTCTAGAAACTACAGTAAATTTACCCACATTTGGGATCCATGGAACAACTTCATAAGATCAACAATAGGGCCGCAAAGGACAGTGAGCAGAGCCAACACACACATAGTTACAGCAGCAACAACCAACACACAGAATCCACCGACAGCAGTCGCGACCTCAACCCCCCCCAACCATGCATAAATTGGTCATCAGCGACCACAGAATGGAACGCAGAATAGGATTGATGACATTCCCAAACTTCTCACTGAAATAATTGGACCGTCTAGAATTCAGATAGGGAAAATCTGAACTATTAGCTACAACACTTTCTTCAGTACACTCGTAACTAAAGGTTCTTGACTTTATCACACTATACAGCAGTAGTATGACTATTTGTAAAAGTATCTTATATAAAATATGTTCTGTACAGCAGTTATGTTTACAAAAGTGGAAATTAATACCTTGTTATGTTATAATGATGTATGTTACGCTTAATGGAAATCAATAAAAACAAAATTTAAAAAATTTAAGGCTGAGGATGAGAAATGCTAATGTTTTCAATAAAAAAAAAGAGACAACATTTTTCTTCCTCTTCAAAAAATAAAATAAAAAAATGTATAAGTATCAAGGAAGGTGCACTCACAGGACTTTGTAAATAAATCTTGAAGTTTAAAACTTGCACAACAGAACTTCAACATTTATTTACAAAGTCCTGTGAGTGCACCTTCCTTGATACATATATATAAAAATATATATTATATATTGTAAATCAGAGAGATTTTATAAGGGAATTGCAAACATCAGAGTAAGTTATTGCACAGAACAAATTATACAACCAACAATTTATTGAGCTCAGCTATTTTTACCTTAACTTTACAATTAATTAGCCATTTCTCTATAATTCCTGCTTTAGTGAATAAAGCCCATGGATCCAAGCCACCTTTCCCCTTATTTATAAATATCCAACCACAGATACAAAGTTTCAGATTATCTATGCTGGGTTACAGCCTTCGCTATCACTTGATATATACTTGTGTTTTCTACAGAGACATTTACTAACCTGGTGGGGACGAGTGATCATTCAAAATAACCAGTGATGCAGGTGTCGGTCTTCTTTTTCTTATCTGGGCAAAACATATAGGTACAAACCTCAGACAATGATAATCATTTCATTTGCCATAAATAGTACTTTCCTTTGTCAAGGCATACATGCGGCATGAGTGGTATAAAGGTTAAAGGCATTCTCCAGGCTGGATATGAGGTTGATTTTAATGTAATACGTTTCAAAATTCATTAAATATATGCAATAAGATAAAAATGTTAAAGCTATACTCACCGTTGAATGCCCACATATTACTGGAAATCACTATGATTTATAATTGGAGTGATTTCTGTGCAGACAAGAAAGCAGTGGAAATACTTTTTACCAATCAAAACATTTCTATTATGTTTAATGGGAGAGCTGAACCAATAGAACACATCTCTGCTCTGCTCAGCTCAGCAGTGACATCACTTTACTTTATGGAATGTTGTGAGTAAAAGTGCAGCCAAGCCGAAAGAAGGCACATCAAGATATATATATATATATATATATATATATCAGCTGACAGATATTCCATTCATGTTTTGTGATGAATGAAACTTTAGACATGCACATTCCAAAAGGGGAGATTTTTTTTATTACATAAGTTTGTTTTATTAGTGCATGCCACACATGTACGAGTGCAGTCAATGAGAAGCATGGCTTCCCTGTGTGACATGTTTGAATGGTGTAGGCCTATGACTACGTATTACTACTCAGACAATATTTTTATGGGGACGGGGGGCATCCTTGTATCAAAACTTAAGCACAGAGCACAAGTTCCAATGGTGCATGGAATGTCCGATTTTTTTCTAAAAGGCATGCACACTTTTTTCATTTCTTCTAATAACAGGAAAGTTAAATATGTAATAAGCAAGAATACATCACAGATAATAGAAAGGGTAGATTTGTATTGTTCTGGCTAATTCCCTAAATACATTAAAATCTAGCATTTTTCCTACTCCTAACCCTTTTATTGGCTTCTCATGTATGAAAAATGTCTAATAAGTGCCTCAACTCTCTCATTTACTCCTTTTTGTTCTGCTTTTTAAAAGCCTTGAACTGGATACTTGTTTTTTTGAAAACGTTGAATTTGCAGCAAAAAAGATTATCACTTTTTTTTCAGAACAAATTGAAGACTAACAGGGTTATTCACTAAAGAGGGAATTTAAGGTGAGTTCAAAGTGAATTTCAAATTTAAGACCAAAGTATTTAAACTGGAAATATAGCGGTTAGAGATTTTTCTTTCCAGTTTAACTATTGTGACCTTAAATTTGAAGTTCACTTTTAATGCACTTTAGTTTCTCACTTTAGTGCATAACCATCTTAAAGTTCAAAACCAAACTTAAATGAACAAGCTGTATAGCTGTAAAGGGGCAAGCAGCTCAGGAATGAAACTGCAAAGACATGCGAAAATAAATAAATAAATAATCAAAGAAACAACAGCATGCTTTGTAATAAGCAAAGACAAATAAAAAAAACAACAGCAGCCAATCGCATTGTCCCACTCATCATTCCTCTTGAAGGGAAAGGCAACAAAGTTTAAACCTATGACGTCAGTGGTTGCAAACATTGCACGTCACGGTTATTTACTATTAATACTATATCTATATGGAGTAGCGAAACATCCAGCTTTCAAAATAAAGTATATACTATTTTAATAAGGGGGAAAAATGTAGCATTGGGTTAAAGCTACTAATCTACGCAGGTTTCTGGTTGGCTCTATTTTATTGCTTTTGAAGGTATTATATAGGGTTTATTTTAATTAAATAAGTTGAATGAGCAAGAGAGCATGTAAGCTCTCCAATTATCTTCAACTCTGCCGCTCATGAAGTGTGGAAATGGGGGAGATAAACTTGGTCAGGGATAGGCAACCTTCGGCACTCCAGATGCTGTGCACTACATCCCCCATAATGTTCTTACACCCATAATGCTGGCAAAGCATCATGGGAGGTGTAGCCTAAAACATCTGGAGTGCCGAAGGTTGCCTATGCCTGGACTAGGTGAACTCTCCATTCATTTAATTATTCTACATTCCTGAACACTGGATAGTGAAAGGAATAGGTGGGAATATTTCTATAACCCACTTGGTTGACCTTCACATTCCTATTTATGGCATGAGCTAATAGGGGAATCTTCGCATTTCCCATCTGATCAGGTAGAGTCCTGGGGTCTCTCATGTTACTTTTGTTTCTACGTTCTGTCAGCCAAACACCAGAGTAGGGGAAATGCTATGCAATTACATTCAAGTTTCTATTATTGTGGGTCCCATGTGTGTGTTTTTATTTTGTGTGTTGTTTTTAATTCTTGCTGTTCCTTATGAGGAAGCCTGAACACAATTTTACAATAATATAAATTATAAATTGTAGATGAAATATGTCTTTATATGATAGGAAGTAAAAGAAAAATAAAAAGATTTAAGATTTTTATTCATAGAATAATTTAAGCAGGCCTAGGGGAACCTATTTAAATTCTTTTGGATAAACTTTTCAAATTATCACAATCTGCTAGAAAAACATTTGAAATTGTTTGTCTTCAGAAGTCATCAAAAAAGTCTGTGAAATTTTGTAGATAAATCATTTACAGATTGTGATTTTTTTTGTAATTGTTTTAAAAATTAATAAATTAAGGCCTTATGTCCTTCCTGTTGTCATTTCCTGATTCCTCTTACAGAAACTTCCTGCTTCAAAGTTAAGTGTGAATATTCCATCATTCAAACTGCGTGGCGTTTCTAATTAACTACTGATACGTACACATACGTAACTGAGAAAATCACAAAGTGCCCTTTAATGAAAATATTGCATTTTAACCAATTTATTTTAAATGTGTTATAAGACCCATTGACATCATAATATATAAGAAGGTTTACATTTCGTAAATAGTAAAAAAATGGCCACAATATTTTAGCAATAGTGACAATGGTGAAATGGTTATATAATGCATCTCTTATGATAATAACGTATGATAATTAAATACAATTTATTTTATTATACAATTTTCAAAACAGCCATTACAATAATTCAGACTGTCTCCAAAAGCAGCCGAAGGACAGACTATGCTGAAATTTGATACTTCCATCTACTCTAAATGTCTCAGAGCTTCATCTCCGAATATAAAAAAATCAATGTTTAAAGGAGGGCATAAAAATAACATTTTAGTTTTAAAAGCTTTTTTTGAGGCATTCTTCCTGCTATAAATAACAGTAATCATTAATTTACAGCATATGGCTAGATATTAGCTCACTCATTATGTAGAATAAACATTATGGAGAAGCATTCAGTTTTTCAAACTAATTAACTGTCATTAAGAACACAATTACAATATATAAATAAAATTATGCAGATTATACTTTTAGTAATCTTCATTGCTTTAGTTGTTTTATAGTTCAACAACTTTGGTATAACCTTGGGTAAGTAAAAAAAAAATGTTAATTCAAGAAAAGAAAATTACAATAAAAATGAAAGGAAAAAAGAGACAAAAACGAACAGAAAAAAGAAAATATGAAGAAACAAATAAAAAAATCTATTTCTATAGCTATATCCCCATTCAAATGCAAACAATATTGTGCTTTATTCCATAAACATAAATAATCTAATCTGCAGGTGATTCAAACTGGCAGAGTAACCCTTTGTGTACCAACATAATGGGCAGAGTTAAATACTGATTTGAAACTTGATTACACTCAAAAAAGTAGTTTTATAATGTACATTTTAAACAGCAAACAATATTTTTACATGTTTTGTTCATAATTGTACAGATATATGACCAATAACAAAAGTATCATTTAACAATCAATTATCAATAAAGGATATAGAGGCCAGCTGTTAGCCACAGAGTTATATAAATACATTATTGGGCCTCTAGGTTTTGAGACTGATCTCGAAATAATGGTCTAGTGGAATTTTCCGATCATGTCTGCGCAGTGTGTATTTTTAGACCAAATATTTGATTTAAATATATATTTGTAGACGGTCATAGACACAGTTACAAGGCCTTATTGATTTTTTTTAATTATTTTTTTATTTAAATGTTTTTGTCATTCTATCAGGATATGGGTTAGACAGTTTACAAATTATGAACATTAATATACCTTATATAACATGCTAATGAGAAAACCTGACAGATTCAGATATTACCTACTGTAGTCAAATGTATTAAGGCAAATAAAATTTAGGAAAAATAGACTGAATAGGTCATCTTTGTGTTATTAAGATGAGGAAAATAGAATGTTACCTGTTCCGATGCCTCCGGATCCAACTGACTCTCAAATACTGGAACTGAAAACTGTATCTTTTTAGGGCTATTGGGTTCCATTTTGTGCTGATAGCAGGTGTAAAAAGAGACTCCCTGTAAAAAGCAGTCGTCCCAATGACTAGTCTCTGGCACACGCCTTTAAGTGATTCTGAGTGGTACTTGATAACAGCTGTAATTCCAGTATTTGCAAATGTGGCTGCATAAAAAGAGCAACTCCCTTATTCGACATCAATAGCACTTCTTGTAGCTGCCTTTTTTTTTTCCTCAGCCCCTTAGATCCTCTCCGCACAAAGCTGAAAGGAACAATAAGCTAATTGTATACCAGCCTTGCTCTGCACATGCCAAGGATTCACTCAGAATCTAATTGAAAATGCAATGCTAGCCTTGAATGGCCTAGTGCTCTGGGATTTGAAAAAGTGGATACATCCACTGTACATTACTGACGGTCTACTCAAAAATGCAATATAAGCTCCCTCTGAGCATCGATGATGGGCCATTAATATTTGATTATAACAGATACAGATCAGAAAGTGAGGAGGGCTAGGGTCAGGTATAGAAGATAATATATCTAATATGGCACTATTAGCACACCCTTTGGTGTTTTGGTAATTTAAAAAAAAATTATTACAAGGAAACAAAAGTAATTTTTAATTGACATTGGCAAGCTTGCTAATTTGATAAGTTGTAGAACATTAGTGAACAGAGTGAAAGACGCTTTTCTATAAATAGCACAAATAAATAAATGTCATTGATAAGTGAAGCAGAGGTATTTATTTACTAAACCATGAATTGTAGAGAACTAGCAAGAGAATAGCAAGTGCTAGGCAAAATAGACTTGAAAGAAGTACCCAGGTATTGGCTTTTCTGCATTTCCAGTTTTTTATGAAAGGGGTACTCTAGGGCTAGGCACTGAGATGGCTTCATGTCAGTGAAGTGGTTATAGTGTATGATGGCAAACTGGCACCATCCTTCCATTTGTCTTTAAACCATTTTTTATGTTTTAATGTTAATCAAGAGTTCCCAGCAGCCCATTCCCTCTGTGCAGATTGGGCTAATGAGAAAGCATTAACTCAAACAGCAATGGTGGCAATGATTGGCTAAGAGTGTCAGCTGACTGCTTTCAACCTAACACAGTTCTCATTGCAGGTATGAATTGGTTTGGTTTGAAGGAAGGGTCTAACCTCTGCCTTAACCATGTGTACAATAGGTGCCAGACTGCTTGGAAATGGTTTAACACTAAATTGAGTAACTGTATCAGGGTCCTCCCGACACAATAAGCAATTTGACTAAATGGTTATAGTATCTACACTGTCCCTTTACAAAAGGATGTTTTATAAGTTAACGGACAAGTAAACTATGGGCCTAAGAAGCAAAGCTGGCCACCTTATGGGCATTGCTGAATAGAGACACTTTAACAGCGCAAACAGACCCCTGCAGTATAGAGAGCCTGGGAGGAAGTGAAAGCTGGTTACTTCTTCTCAGCTACATACATGGGTTTGGGTGCTGCAACAGCCTTCTTCAAATCCCATCAGAGATTTTCTATGGGATTCAAGTCAGGTGACTGATGGCCAATGTAGAATTTTGCAGGACCTCTTCTGCAACCAAGTCTTGATGAAATTTGAGGTGTGCTTGGGTTCATTGTCTTGTTGGAAGGTCCAATGTCGCCCAAGCTTCAGCTTCCTCACAGATGGCATAACATTTTCTCCTAGGATTTCCTGCTACTTTAATGAATCCATCTTGCCTTCCACACACTGCAGGTTTCAAGTGCCAGAGGATGCCAAGCAGCCACAGAACACCACCATCTTTAACTGTAGGAAGTGTTGATTTCAGCGTATGCTTCATTTTTCTTCATCCAGACATACTGCTGATCCATTGGGCTGAAAAGATCCAGCTTGGTTTCTTTGCTCCACAGAACAGAACCCCAAAACATCTGTGGCTTATTTATAAGATTTTGAGCATATTGGAGCATTATCTTCTTGTGGTTTTGGGTCAGTAGTAGTATACATCTTGGAGTTCTGACATGGAAACCTACTGCATTTAGTAGCACCTTACTATGGTTACTGAAACCTCAGTGCCTGTTGCCACCAATTCTTTTTGCAGGTCTTTTGCAGTCATTTAAGGGTTTTTCACAACCTGCCTTCTCAGAAATATGGTTGCAGTCATTGATAGCTTCCTTTTTCTGCCCTGTCCAGGTAGTGTAACAAATGGTTCTTCAACTTTGAACTTGCGAACTATACTTCCAACGGTGTCTCTAGAAACATTTAGTGTCTTCACCATATTTTTGTATCCTGTTCCTTGTTTGTGAAGAGTGATCTCCTCGCTTAACTTTGTGGACCAATATTTTGACTTGGCCATATTTCTAACATGCAGTCAAATGTGATCTCAACAAACCTGTAGCCATTTCAGGTATATTAGGTGTTCCAGCTCAAACACACATGGTGCAAGTAATGAAGCACTTGATTGGTTGCATCAGGTGTTCTTGAGACCACACCTGTTTTGTATATTTGTGCTCTTGTGAGGGATTCTATTTAGGGTGTTGAATTATTATTATTATTATTATTATTATTATTGCCATTTATATAGTGCCAACAGATTCCGTAGCGCTTTACAATATTATGAGAGGGGGGGATTTAACTATAAATAGGACAATTACAAGAAAACTTACAGGAACGATAGGTTAATGAGGGAATAATTTTGAGAATGGAGAAGTCATATGTATTTCTGTTGAATTTGGGGAAACTACTTGAACCATGTGTTTTATTGTTTTATTTCAAGGCAAACAGCTGAGAGTCTGTAAATGTTTACAATAAACCTGATTTTCAAGGTGGGTGAATAATTTTTATTACAACTATATATGTATATGCAGATTATGTGTTTATGTGCATACATCCCAGCAAATGCCAAAATTATATACAAACTCACCACATCATTCAATCACCAAAACTACACACAAATGTACACTCTCATTTCAATGGCAACACTACATACAAACACACCAGCATTTAAATGGAAACATTACAGACCCCTGTCTGTGTGTATTTTTGTGCCAAGGTCTTTGTATGTGTCAGTGTGTGTGTATCTGAGTGCGTGTGTACCTGTGTGTATATCTGAGTGAGTGCGTGTTTACCTATGTGAATATCTGAGTGTGAGTGCGTGTGTGTGTGTACGTATGTATACACATCCCAGCAATCAAGCACAGATATTACAAACACACCCCTGCATTCAAACTCCTAAATTATAAACAAACAATCCCTTCAAACACTACACACAGAAGCACAACTGCATTTAAAAACATACATCCGAATGCAAACATTACATAGAAGTACACCACTGCATTCTAATGGCAACAGTACATACAAATACACCTCTGCACACACATACTCCATACAAAAATAGGTTTACATTAAAAAAAAAATGTTTACACTGCTCACAAATTCAAGAAAACCTTGCTTCACAGGCAGCTTTGAAATATGCTAGTCTACAATACTAAATGACAGAAAAAAATAAGAAACAGAATGTGCCAAAAGGAAAAGTGTGTCTTTTTAACGGATAATACACTTAAAAAGATAAAATCTTGTATACCAAGATATTCTTGTCTCTTGTCAAAGTGAACCGTGCAGTGTTTCAAACTGTGGATTCACTCCATATATGGATATAAAAGAGCAGAAAAGAAGGGATCCAATAGTGCAATGTGTCAATTCAAATGGGTCACATATAACACGAGTGAGCAATTGACAATTCATTGAATGGAACTCCAGCATATTGAGCCTACAGTGGTTTAGATTCCCACTTGTAAGATCTCTTGTGTGATCTTCCACAACAAAAATAGTAATGAGGTAGAATTATATATATAATATTTATATTTGCACTTTACAAAAAGTGATTGCATTTTAATGGGGGACAGCCCATGATTGATTTTTTTGTGCCAAATTTAAATTACCATATGCCTATTTAAACCCTATGTAGCCAGGTTGTATGTTTCTTACCCTATTTGAAAAAGCCACATCGGCGAAACGCGTTATTGGATGTTTTACTCAGCACTTAAAATAAAGGAATTTTTTTGGACTAATATACCTAGGTTTGTGCCAATTTCCTTTTTAATTATTTCATAGTTCTTTTCTTTTTTTTTTTTTTATTTTCACCTGGCTTTTTATCATCACTCCAAAGAAATCCGAGGTGGGGATCATACCACCAAAGCTGATATCATAGAGCAGTCAGCCTGTTCTACGTTTTGTGTTTATATTCTTTATATCTTTTACATATTGTTTTTACTCTATTGAAAGCACTATTTTCAACTCCCTACTTTTATTGTCCTTTAAGCTCCAGTTAAACCTGAGATCAACACCTACATTACATGTGGGGATTGTACCACTAGACGCCAGAGCTGTCCATAGCTCTATAAACTGTAAGGGCATTATTATTACTTCACCATAACCACTTTTTAATGATACATATTGCACTATCTTCTTCCCTCCGCTTTATATGATACCGGAGAGACTGATTACGAATACCACTTAGCCTTAGGAATCCATATTCCTTGTTGAATATACCATACACTACAGTCTCTTCCAGTCACTCAGGAACTACACCCTTCCATCCTGCAGCAATCATCTGTGAGGGAAGACAGTTTCACTCTCAGCCAAGAGGCTTAAGGGAAGCATCCCAGAGCTGTCTAACAGACACGGCCACCGCAGTGCTTGAGTCCTGATGAGCCTGATGGATGTGAGGCTGGAGCGGCGGAACCCGGGAGGTGTGGTTTATGGTGGATGTTATCATGGTGTGAGGAACTGACTCTGCTGGGTTTCGAACCCTGGTTTACATGGTGCTAAACCTCTTCCTTACCAGTACACCAGCCTGCCTTTTGCAAATTTACCTGAGATCTGATACCATTGCTTGTAGAGTCAAGATTATCAGTGACAACTCTCTTCAGCTGTGTCTGGTCAGGTGTCTGGTTCTTGGCCTATAAAAGCCACTTCCTGTCTCTGTACCTTTGCCAGATTATTGTGGTACCTGTACTCTCTAATCAAGTGTGTTCCTGTTTCTGAATTTGGACTGTTTTGACTTTGCTGCTTCTCCTTCCCACTGACCTCGGCTTGCCTCACTACGATTATCATCTTTCTGTTCCAGTCTCCCATCTCTGCTTAAGACCAGAAGGCCACTCAAGGCTCAGGGGCTCAACCACCTGGGTAACGAGTGGTTACCTCTGGCAGAAAACATTGCTGATCTGGCTACTGGATTCCAAAACCTTGTAACATCAATATCATTACACATGGAGGCCTCAGTGGAGCAGAATTCGCTGCAGGGACATGCAGCACCGGCCAGTGATGCAGCCTGGAAGAGGACCAT